CGCCTCGGTCAATATGTCATCTGCCGGTGAAAATCACATCATATTCAATGGCTCACTAGTCAATAATTGTATAGTGTCTTTCTTTTCTATCCAGTAGATCTATAATAAGCATTCAACGTCTTAGTTTTATTTGGACATATTTTTAAATCAAATCAGCTAGTTTTATGTTAAATACCTCTTTAAATGGTGAGATGAAAATGTTTCCGGTTTTGAAATAGGTTCTTGCAATGAATTTTTTTAATTGTTGCTTTCATCATGCCATTGATAATTTCAAAATATTTTTACATATACCAGCAAATGGCACGTTAAAGTTTCAAGTTAATAATTTTATATCTTTGCAGATATGATTAATTCATTCAAATTAATTAATTTGCAAAAATCATTCACAAATTTATTGTTAAAACTGTCAATGTTATTGTAGACGTTGACACAGCTTGTTTGTAAACGTATAGTAGGCAAATATTGAACAATAATTATATTTATAATGAGTGAGATTGGCCCGAGAAATTTATCTTCTTTAATTTAGAAATGAATTTTATGTAAAATTGTATAGTAATATATGTTTGTAATTGACTGATTTTATGTCATTTTTCAGCGTGAGTTATGGCTATTTAGTAGGTTAAAGTTTATAAGTGTTCGAAATATTTTTTGTCCAATAGGATTGCAGTATTTCAAATGAATCGTAACTTATCAAAGAATGTGTATATAGGCTTCTTGTTGACATAATTAGAAGATTATTATAAGGCATCTTTGACGGTTCCATTTCCGTACTTCCAACATAATTTCACTTACTTAGCTGTTATGTTGTAAACTTCAGGCTTCATGGTCGGTACGGATAATATACTTTTCTCAGCGCCCTATTGGTAAAGTTTATATATTTATATATATCATGTTTGCTTGTTATAACCTTAAAAACTGATTACAATCCATTTTTGACCATTTCAGTATATCTTGTATCACTTACTCTATGTTGCTTGGCTTCAAACCTCGGGCTGCCAGGCCGACAACTTCTCGGACATTACACTCATTGGTATCATGTTGTCTTTATTCCCGATCACACACAGGGTTTTGTTATTCAAGGTTATTTCAAGCAAAAAAAAACCTTGATGTTGTACCAAAATAACAGGCAAAACATCATTTTACCATATATTCTTAATCACAAATGAACATATGGACGGAACATATGTCATTTTTGCTGTCAACAAGTTTGTTTTGAACATGTTCATCCTTGGTGATCTTTTTTATCATATTTGTTGTTTGTCAGTATTTAACCTAGGGTATGTTGACACTAAAATGTTATCTGAAATATAGGACAATTACAATTTATATAAACATTATCCGAGGCCATGCTACACTACATTAAATTTCAAAAATAATATAAACAAGAAAAGCATTGATGCAAAGCATCAAAGGGCGTCCAAGCAAGAAATAAGAAAGTGAAGATGAACTAGTAGACATATGATGTCAAGATATTCTTATAAACTTTTCAATGGTTAATTGGTTTTTACCAAAATGAACGGACGGAAGACATTGTTCATTATGAACTTTGATTGGCAACGGATATACATGTATACAATCATTTATCATCCATACCAATAAGTAACGCATGATCAACACCACACTTGTGGGGAATTGTCCCTTATTATGTATTCGCTATTAGCGAAGACCCCCTCTTAAGGTATCTGTTCACACTTAGTAAAAATATGACACTGGTTATATTACCATGTCATGTTGAGCATTATTGTTTATTATACAATAATTGTAATATCTATTTTAATAACAAAAATATTAATACAGATTTTATGAATATTGTTTTCCTCTCTCTTTTTGTGTTTTTATGTGCTATTTTAATACTGAGTTTTTTACGTTTACTATTCTTTTTCTATTAAAATTGTAAAATAAATTTTAAGAATTCAAATGTCATATTGACCGACGATTATAAGTCAAAACTTTACTGGAAAAAGTCAGTAAATTATGGTTAATCTTTCAATATATAATATTATTTATTCTTAAACCATGTACATGTACATTTGTATTTTTCTTTATCATTTTTTAAATTATCATTCAAAATCAAATAATTAATAAAATCTAATTTGTTACTTTGAATAATTCACCGGCATCTTTACTAAACACGAATAACAAATAAAATAAAATGTTTCGAAGTTAATAGAGTCATATTAAAACCATAAAAATGTACCTTTTTTCACAATTATTGTACATATTTATAGTTTATATCTCGTATAGATAAAATGAAACATGCTATTGTTGTTTTTTTTTTTTTTTTTTCGAATTGTATGTTTATGTATAATAATAATCAATATATTTGAGAGTTGATCTATGTTTATTAATTATTGTAACCAAACTAAGTGACAAACATTCATTTTGGAAAAAAGCTTATTTATCTGTAAAATATTTGTTCTGTTCTGTAACGATATCAAACATCTACTCCAAAAACCGAGAGAGATCGGACAATAAACGTGTGATACTTTTCGCCGGTCACTAGTATCACGGTCAAAATAGACCGGGAGAGACCGGAATTACCGATAGGAGTACATCCCTCTATAAATAGATTTTCGGAATATTTAGGTCATCAACTCATCATTCTATTTTAACATACCATGATAACCCACTGTGTACTACAAAATGATAAATAAAAAAAACCGAAGAGACGGAAAAGGTTATTGCATTTGAAAATGAAAAGGTTATTGCATTTGAAAATGTTTGCATTGCGAAATCCTCCAGTTCGCTATTCATTGTAACATATCGCGACATTTAATTAATAATCAAGCACCCTCATACCGATCGGAATGATCGGCTTTTATCATGACCGACTTAAAGGCTCGAGAAGTTGCTGTCGCCCTTTCACAAAATCTGACTTCGTTCCATAAAGGGGCGCCGCGCTTCGGCGCGGACGCCAAAAATAACTTTGTTACCAGATCCGACTATGCGGCATTTCATATTTTTTTACATCAAAGTGTAGGATATCGGATACATATAACAGTGCACATATTTCCAAAATTTAATTTAAGCTTTTTACTCGCTAAAGTAGAAAGTATTGAAAATCTGATGCAATAATTTACTGTATGTCTTTGGTGAGGTAAGGCGAGGGGTGCACTGTCATGTTTTGATAAACAAAACTTGCCAACTCCTTTTTTGATGACTGTCAACTTACAGACTTAAAAAAATCTAAATATACATGTACGTATTCACCTGGCTTGGCTCTGATTGATTAGGCAATAATTATATACATGCGCGTTGAAGCATGTCTTCTGTTCATTTCAGGAACTACTAGCAGCTTCTTGCACGACTGTCAAATTATACGACACGCAATTATTTCAAGTCATTTTAAGGATGTTTAATAGGTCGTATAGAGTGCAAGAAATTTTCTTTATTAGTTTGAGAAAAAATTAACACATAGTCCTTTAGCTCAAAACACGCCAACTACAAAATAAAGTCAACAACGGCGTATGTCGATAGACCAAAGTGACCTTTTTTGCGTGCAGATTTTTCACAGAATTGTTTATTTCTTTCAAATGTTTTGCAAGAACATGCTTGACAAGCACAAAATTTGGCCTTTTCAAATTTTCAGCTGGCTCGAAATTCTACTCCAGCTCGACTTTGTATCAGGCTTTTAACCAAAACCTTTTGAAATTGATAATAACTACGTCCCCACCCCAACTTTTGCAATGCCACTTAAAAAGGCCCCTTCTTTGAGTTCTATTAAAAGGGTAATAATTTGGTGGAATTTTATACATGGAAACAGGAGTTATCATTCGTGGGTAGGGAATATGGCCGACTGAAATCATGCAAGCAAGTTTGTAAGTACTGCCATCTTCAAGCTGTTACATTGCGCTAAACTGCCATATTCACCGATATATAGGGTATTGACATCGATACCTTATGTTTAATATATTGATTGAACATGCGCCATCCTAGGTTGTCAGAGATCTAGGATAGTTATAGTTATATAAACATTATCAGAGGCCATGCTTTAAATAATTCAAATACTAAAATAGTACAAAAATCAGCTTTCTTAGTAGCTGGCCGAATTTCACATCAAGGATGTATATAAAAGTGCACATAATGCATATAATAATGAATTCAAGTTTTTTACTCAATAACTGACAAAGTATTGAAAATCTGATGCAATGATTTACTTTATGTCTTTGGTGAGGTTAGGCGAGGGGTGCACTGTCATGTTTTGATAAACAAAACTTGCAAACTCAATTTTTTATCAATGAACATGATGAATCTTACAAACTTTCAACTTAATTCAAAAAAGATATCTACAGAAACCATATTTACCAGGCTTGGGTCTGATGAGTCAAGCCATAATTATATCAATCGGCGTTGAAGCAGCTCTATGGAATACCATTCTGTTCTTTTGCATGAACTACATGCAGATTCAGTAGAACTGTCACACTTGTAGGACACACAATTATTTCAGTCATTTAAAGCAAGTTCAAGAGATCGTTTGAAATGCCAAAAAAATATTCTTCATTAGTTTGCAAAAATATAAAACAGATAGATCTTTAGTGCATAGAAGTCACGATGCTTACTCAGTAAATGACATCACAATTCCTTTTCAGGCAGAACAATTCACAGAACACTGATGAACAGACTGACATTGGGCGAGCTGCCGCTCTGCTGGACGACGTCGTGAAAGTGTATTAGCACGACATTCGATATTAACTCATTAACAGCTATATTATCATAGTAACTTTCTTAAATTTTGACAAAGTACTACATGCGCATATATACCGCGATATTTCATCTTTATTGAGTGGCGTACAAAATACACGATGCTGGCACGACATTCAACACGAACTTTGGTAGTATAAAAAAATCTATACATGTTGGATATTTACTACAGTTGATTAAAGATATTATTGATCTTTGAAACGTGTTTTTATTTGATATTAACAGGTCTTTGTATTAAGTATAGTTTTATTGGTTAACTTTTTATGTAGTGTGTGTGAATGTATGTGTTCGCGTGTGAATGCGCGCGCATGCGTGTGTGTTTGGGAGCAGCTTAAATACACGATCAGAATCATTTTCTTCCTTTTATTTTGCTACTTCATTTGGAGAAATAAGATAAAATACAGGATTAGGATATGAAGACTACTTTAGGTTTCTTGTTGGTAAGATTAATTTATTTTCAAGTATATTGTTTCAACATTTATAACATTAATAATATGGAGATTATGTCTTATTTAAACAATTTATATTAATAATAATAAGGTTCTTTATGGATTCTTATTTTCTCTATTTTATCATTGAACTTAGACATTTTGAAAATGATGAATTAAATTAAATAATTTTGTGACACTTAACAATAATTATTGTATTGCAAAGACATATTGTCGAAAGCTTTGTAGGCTGATTGTCATTAGTACAAAATGTCGTCTGCATAGAATTTTAATTTTATCCTGAGACTTATCATAAGTTCCAGTTTTATTTAAATTTCTTTAAAGCTGCATGCCTACTTGATGAGCCAAAACATTTCAAGAAAATCAACTTAAGAAAATGTTCTAAGATTTTAATAAAAGAAAATTATTCAAGAGTCAAGTTATTATGTTATGTGGGATTAATGACCGATTCTGCAATAATACTGCGCGATCAACACAGGAAGGCTGTTTTTTTGCATTTTTTTTTACATCTTTTTGTAATTTACATGTATCGTATGTGCAGTTTGCAATGTGTATATAACTTACTTTGTTTATTTCACAATATTTTACTTTAAAATACATTTTCAAACTTTTCATGAAAATAAGCATTAATCTAAGGGGCATGACTGTAAAACCGATTGGTACCCGGCCAAACAGTGTGGTATCAAGCCTCTGGTCTGGTACCAAGCTTAAAGCTATGACACTCATAGTGGTTTATAGCCGACTTATGGTTTAAACTGTGGTTCGTATACTGATGGTATTAGAAAAAAAATTAAAATGATGTCCTGACGGATTTCTCCCATTCTGAACTATCTTTCTCTCTTTTTTATCTTACTGAAAAGAAATTTCAGTATAACGATACTGTTTTACTACAAGTTTTACATAATTAGTCTATCTTTATTTTTTTTTATTCGGGCGGCAACTTCTTTTATAGATAATACAACCAACTTTGTTTCTCGGCGATTTTTTTAATAGAAATCAAAAGTATGTGAATTGTTGTTTATTTTCTATGTACCTAACTATGTCAGGGAGGCAAATTTGCTTGCAAGATGGTCTTCAGATGCCGAGAAATGTTCTGAGATTTTATAAAAAAAAAATGACATTACAACGAAAACTTTGACTGATTCTTACTGACATTTTTTCTTCTCCACTACTAACGAAGGAATGGCTGTTGGTTGCATAGAAATGGCATTTGGCTGGCTAAATCTCCTTGTTGTCAAGGGGGCAATTTGGTTTTACTAAATTTCATTTTAGAAAAATCAACAGGAAACAAAATGTACGAAGCTGAAAAAGATTTGTCATTAATAAAGGACAATTTTCTGTCAGAATGCAAGTTAACAGCTGGTCGTCGAATAAACAGGTCAGGCAATAAAGCGAAAATGCAGCAATTTGAATGAAAGTATGTTACATGCAAAAAAAGCGAAAAATGTCGCGATGTGAAAAAAATGATAAAGTGCAACACTGCTTATCTCTGTGTCTAAACATTTTTGCATTCTTGAGTTGAAAAAGAGAAAAGACAACAAAATTATGGGGGAAAAACACACACACAAACAAGGTGTTGAGTTTAGCGTTAAATCTGTTGCATCTTTACTTTTTTGTGATGAGAGTGCAACAATGAGAATACAATATCCAGTTACAATTATAATCAATAAACTGTTTATATTTGAGGTAATTATTTTATATACTGTGGTATATGACATATGTGTAACATGCAATGTGGTTAAACTAAATTATTTCCTTTAAAGCGATCTGCCATTAATAAAGGAGGAATTTATTTCAGATTTTACTATGCATAGTAATGTTAACTGCTGGTCGTCGATTTAACAGGTCAGGCAAAAAACAAAGTTTATTTTGTTCACACGATGCTGTAAGTAATTATTGAAATTATCTAAATCTAAATTGTTATTTGACACATTTCGATTGATATGACATCGGTTGAAACTATTTTATGACTACATGTAAAATTGTGCAAAATGTTTAAAAATAAAGTATTGCTTTGAATCATAGTGATAAAACATTAATGAGCCGCGCCATGACAAAACCAACATAGCGCGTTTGCGACTAGCATGGAATCAGACCAGTCTGATCATGATCCATGCTGTCCGCTATCCGTTTCTCTTCTTGTACATGTAATAGAGTTGGTTTTGTCATGGCGCAGCTCATTTATACTTGAACTCTTGGATGTATCTATTAACAATGTAATTATATGAGGGGCATTGGTCAACAACTTTAAATTTCTATTTTAAAATGTGAATGTGGTTTTAAATTTAAGACTAAATGAAATGTATTTAATGCCTAATTTAAAATATTATGATAATAGGATTGCGACTCTGATCAGTTATGTCGGCGAATGTTCCGTGATTGTGAAATACCCAAAAAATGTTTTCCGGGTAAGAAATTATGTTTGCTTACTTATATAATTCAAGAAGGTTACTATCTAGTAATAAATGATGGAAGAAGATACATTATCTATTTTACAGTTTTCTCTTGATTGATATTTAACTTAAAACAGCCCGGTGAAATTGATTGTAAAAATTATAAATATCTGTTGCATAATGCTGGTATTATAAACCTAAAGGCACTTTACAACTTAAGTATTATATTTTCCTTAGCAACAAATATTGGAAATACGTGTACAAGAAATTCCGACTGCTGGGATACGGATCCAATGTTTCCATGTGATGGTACCCGTTGTCGGTGTCAGGACGGGGTGTGCACATGTGGAGAGTGTTTTACTGAAGTAGATCAACGTTGCGAACCAACTCAATCACGTGAGTTAATGTTATCTTTTAATTCGTTAATAAATAAGTAAACTTGAATAAAAGATAAAGTGGTGTCTAAAATAGTAGAACTGATTGTTTTATTTAAACAATGTATATAATTGGTATAAGATCGAGGTAGCTGCAGTTAAAAGAAACAACGAAGATATACTAAAGCAAAAACAAAAACAACTTATCCACACTATACAAGTATAGTTATATTTACATTAATTTACATAATTATTTCAGAAGCAGGACGTACAGGAACCTCATTTCATACAGGGTATATGTTCTCATTAAGCACTTCCTCTGGCTCCCAATATTTGTATATCTTGAGTCCGTGTGCAAACGTTAACATTACCGTTCCATTTTTATCGATACTTGATGAACCACATGAGGTTATAAACTCAAAAGTAATTGAATTTCCCCCCACCCTTCAAGTGAAATCGGATGGAGTCCCTTCAAATAAGACCGTTTACATAAAATCAGATAGCCAAGTAACTGTCTACTGGCTAAATTCTAAGACGAATTCTGCGGATGGGGGACGCATCTTATCGGACGAAGAGTTAGGACAAGAATACATATTAGCAAGTGACCGATCAGGAAACACCAGACCAGACAGATTTGAGCAGTTTCTTATAGTATCCTTACAAAATGGTACATCTGTACAAATTGAATATTCTGACGGTTCTCAAGAAACTATTTCATTAGAAGCAATGGAAGCTTTCAGGAAAAAAGGTACCGAATTTTCAGGCACCATTGTCACGTCAAACGAACTGATTGCTGTAAAGTCAGGTCATGAATGTTTTGTAGCTGATGGTGGCCGTTGCGACCTCATGTCAGAACAAATTCCTCCGGTATCTTCTCTCGGCTGCATTCACATTATAGGATACATGAAGCCTTTCCTAACTTCATACGTGAGAATTGCTATTCCTTTCGACCATACAGATGTGACCATTTTTGACGAGGACGGTAACGTGGTGGATTGCCTTGTAGGAATGTCCCGTGGTGACACCTTTGTTAAAAGTTATTCAAATGTCGCATTATCAGTTATATCAACGGAAAGAGTTCTCGTTATCCAGTATGGGGATGATTATGAAGAAGATCCTGTCCGAGATTCTTCTATGATGCAAATCTTGTCAATTGACCGCTATGTTTCGACATATGACTTTTACGTCCCGGAAAATTTCGAACAGGCCATATTAGAGATAATTATTGAATCCACTTTAGATCCTACTGGATTATTATTGGATGGCATGATGCTGAGCGTAACAGAAACTGTCTCGGCAACAGTACCTGGTTATGGAACATATGATATAATCTACTCAAACGTTAGTCCTGGAAGCCATACGTTAACTCATGCAGATGTTGCCGTTTATACAGCATTTGTGTATGCAAGAAGAGTGAGGGCTGAATATGCAATTGTGCTATAAAAATAGAAATTTGGTAACCGGAATGGAGCTGACCTGTGCGAAATTCTTTTAGTTATATGTATTATAGGGCTTAATGAAAGCGGGTGTTTTTTATATTTGACTTACTATTAACATATTGTTACCATTATATTTTGATCGTATTTTGATATGTGGATTATGATCATATGTTCTTTTGTTGTTTTTTTTTTTTTATTGTATAATATTCATTTCATTCATTCTATCACTCATAGTAGGCCTACACGCATTGTTTGTTCAATCATATTTCATTCCTGTGGGGAACTGTATAACTCTTAAACGGTTTGTTTACAAATTTATTTGGGATATTAACACAATAAAGGATCAGAAATAGTATTATGATTTGGTGTTGACTTCATGGCAAAACTGTTACAAATGATTCCACTGAAAAGTCAGACCTTATATCATCTAGTGTGTTTCTGGATACAAATAAAAAAAACTGACAAAAATTTTACCGAGAAAGTTATATTTGATAATATCACAGTGAAAATTATCAAAAATATAGGTTCACACTTTTCAATGACAAAAAAGCAAACAAATATCCTTTATAAATTTTATTGATGTCCATGTTAGCAATAAGTTTTAAGGTTCATGTATATATAACTAAATTACCTTCTCATATACAGTGGTGCTTGTATTAGTGAAGGTTTTACTATTTTAATTTATTTCTTCATCACTGTCTCGTTTACAATATGTAATTTTAAGCATTGCGGTTTTTAACTTATAAGGGAGACACCTCCACATTTTTCCATATTACAAACGTCTAGAGTGCAAATGCAGATTTACCTCCCTTATTAATACGACGCCTATGTTGAATGCATATTTTCCAATACTAAGGATCAATAAGACTTCCCAGCAGGTACTATATGTACCAACTGGGACTAAAAATATACACCCCAGGTACCAATCAATCAAGAAAAGTAAACCATTTAAAGTCATTTAATTTGCATTAATAGTATAAGAGAAGTAGTCCAGACAAAATCAAAAAAACATTAAAGTAGCTTGCAACGCAAAAACAGGCCAAAACACCTTTTTGTGTTATATAAAGGGCCAATACTTGGTCAAAAATCATGCAAGAGCAGACCCCGTATAATATGCACATTAACTTGAATTACTGATCAGTCATGTAAAGTTTCATTGAAATTGCTTAAGTTGTATAAGAACAGAACCCCAAACTTTAAGAAAATCATTAAAAGACCAAAATGTGGATGATATGCACAACTACATCTGTAGACCTTGTACTGATCATTCCTGTGAAGATTGGGTGAAATTGCCCCAGTATTGTTTGAGAAGTAGTCCGGGCAAGATTTGTTACGGACGGACAGATAAACGGACAGACAACGGAAATGATCCCTCTGTAGCAGGCAACACTAAAATGGACGTTAATATTCCTGTTAAGATCTATTAAGGACTGTGAAACTGATTTTTGTTTTGTTGCCCACAAGTTACCAGTGTAGAACCATTAACTTCATGTTTAATTCCTTGATAATATCATCAAATGAAAATGATATCAGCATTTAGCAGAAAAATAAGTGGTTTTCTTTTGTTGTTGTTTTTTTACCCTTTCATGGTCAGCTAATAAACATGAATTACATTGAGATAATGTTATGGTTAGTTGGAACTTACAGACAATAAAACACAAACAATGTTTTTAAATCAACACTTTTTAATATCAACATTAGAAAAGAAGCAGAAAAAAACTCAAAAACAATATAACAAAAAAATATACAAGAGGGCCATGATGGCCCTAGATCGCTCACCTGAATTATCAAACTCATCCAAACAATTACCTAGACAAGCATTCTGACCAAGTCTCATGACAGGTGAGTCAAAAATGTGACCACTACAGTGTTAACAAGGATTATCCATATTTGAGCAGTGCGACCTAGTGTTTTACCCAGGTGACACATATTCAAACTTGACCTAGAAATCATCAAAACAAACTTTCAGACCAATTTCCAGATACTTGGATCAAACAGTAGCAACTAGAGTGTTAACAAGATTTTTCTATTTTTAGCTCCGGTGACCTAGTTTCACATGCGATTTCGAACTCATCCAAGCAATTACCTAGACAAGCATTCTGACCAAGTTTTGATGATAATGGAGTCGAAAATGTGACCACTAGAATGTTACAAGGTTTTTCCATATTTGGGCGGTGTGACCTAGTTTTTCATCCAAGATGACCCATGTTCGATCTTGACTTAGAAATCATCAAAACAAACTTTCAGACCAATTAACAGAATATTTGGATCACAACAGTAGCCACTAGAGTGTTAACAATATTTTTCTATTTTTAGCTCCTGTGACCTAGTTTTTCATCGAGATGTCCAATGTTCGATTTATTCCCAGCAATGACCTAGACAAGTTTCCTGACCAAGTTTGATGACAATTGAGTCAAAATTGTGACCACTAGAGTGTTAACAAGGTTTTTCTATTTTAGCTCCTGTGACCTAGTTTTTCATCCGAGATGACCCATGTTCGAACTCATCCGAGTTATTACCTAGACAAGCATCTTGATCAAGTTTGATGATGATTGATGCAAAAATGTGACCGCTAAAGTGTTAACAAGGTTTTTCTATTTTTAGCTCCGGTGACCTACTTTTTCATCCGAGATGACCCATGTTCGAACTCATCCAAGCTATCAACTAGATAAGCATCCTGACCAAGTTTGAGGATGATTGATGCAAAAATGTGACCGCTAGAGTGTTAACAAGGTTTTTCTATTTATAGCTCCGGTGACCTAGTTTTTCATCCGAGATGACCCATATTCGAACTCATCCGAGCTATTATCTAAACAAGCATCCTGACAAAGTTTGATGATGATTGGGTCAAAAATGTGACCACTAGAGTGGTCACAAGGTTTTTCTATTTTAGCTCCTGTGACCTAGTTTTTCATCAGAGATGACCCATGTTCGAACTCATCCAAGCAATTGACTAGACAAGCATTCTGACCAAGTTTGATGATGATTGGTTCAAAAATGTGACCACTAGAGTGTTCACAAGGTTTTTCTATTTATAGCTCCTGTGACCTACTTTTTCATCCGAGATGACCCATGTTCGAACTCATCCGAAGCTATCACCTAGACAAACATCCTGACCAAGTTTGATGAAGATTGGGTCAAAAATGTGACCTCTAGAGTGTTCACAAGGTTTTTCTATTTTTAGCTCTTGTGACCTAGTTTTTCATCTGAGATGACCCATGTTCGAACTCATCCGAGCTTTCAACTAGATAAGCATCCTGACCAAGTTTGATGATGATTGAGGCAAAAATGCGACCGCTAGAGTGTTCACAAGCAATTGTGGACGGCCGGACGGACGACGGACGACGGACGACGGACGACGGACATTCATCGATCCTAAAAGCTCACCCTGAGCAAGCTCAGGTGAGCTAATAAAAAAAATTAACACATGAATAGAAAAAACAACTAGAAATTTAAATAAGTGCACAACAATGAAGTTTTTAAATTGACACCTTTTATATAAACATGATAAGCAAAAACAAAATTATAAAGTCAATGACAAGAAACAATCACACAGTCATATATCTACAAGACCTACAATGTGCTTTTCAGACTAAAATTAAGATTGTATCAAATGCAATTTGGTATCATAGAGATTAATCTTACAAAACCTTAACAGGGAATCAAAAAGCTCACAAAGGCTACAATCATGCTAGAATTATGATACTTGGACAGTGACCTGAAACTTAATATACAATAATCCCAAAAACATGTGAAAAATATTTCTAGTTGATGTGAAAAATTATTTTAACAAGGTATTCTTTAAGTAAACAAAAGGATGTAATTAAACAACAATTCATGCTAGAGTTATGGGCCTAAGTAGTCAGCGAGCTTTGTTTATGACCATTTAGTTTCCAGGAAACGGAAGGTCAAGAAGGGAAGCACAACTTTAAATTATTGAAATAGTCACAATCATGTTATAGTGCATGTAACATCAACATAACTCAATTTTCCCCATAACCTCAACTCAACTCTTCCTGCAACCTCAATTAAACTCAACACTTCCCGTTACCTAAACTAACCTCAACTCAACTATCCCCGTAACCTCAACTCAACTCAACTCTCTCCGTAACATCAACTCAATTCAACTATGATCCCTGAAACATCATCGCAAGTCTCCCTTAACCTCAACTTAACTCTCCCTGTAATCTCAACTCAACTTTCCCCGAACACTCAACTCTCCCCATAAGCTCAACTCAACTCTAACCGTAACCTCATATCAACACTTCCCGGAACCTCAACTCAACTTTCCCTCTAACCTCAAGTCATTTCTCCCCGGAACCTCAACTTAACTCTACCCAGAACCAAAACTCAACTCTCTCTGTAACCACATCTCTCCCTCTAACCTCAAATCATCTCTCCCCGAAACCTCAACTCAACTCTACCCGGAACGCCAACTCAACTCTACCCGGAACGCCAACTCAACTCTACCCGGAACGCCAACTCAACTCTACCCGGAACGCCAACTCAACTCTCCTTGTAACCACATCTTAAAAATCCCCATAACCGCAACTCAACTCTCCTCATACACTCAACTCAACATTCCGCATACATTCAACTCAACTTTCCCCATAATCTCAACTCAACTCTCCCCGGAACCTCAATTCAACACACCCTTGAACATCAACTCAACTCTCCACATACTCTCAATTCAACTCACCTCTCCCCGGAGCATCAACTCAACTCTCCCTTGAACCTCATCTCAACTCTTCCCATTCACACAACACAATTTGAAAAATCGGCTATAAATAGGTTAGCCGGTGCTTTATGATTGCAATTTTTCATTATAATTAGGTAATTATGTATGGCAAGGATGAAGACCAGAAATACGTAAACAGGTCAAAACTTGTGAATTGGCAAGTTATTTCGAAATTTTACTGAAAACTACCAGATTTGAAGCAAGAGGCGATTAAAATGGCCTGTGAATTAGGCTTTGACACACAATACAAGATGTAAGACTAGCTTAATCATTAAAGTTTAATTTAGCACCTAAAACTCATTTTTGAACGATGAAAATAACCATTTTAACGAGTGTTTTTGTAGTATATACAGATGCTTTCCGACGAACTCCGTGACAGTTATCACAAGAACTCCTGAACAAGTTGTCATAAGAACTCCATCCTTCGTGTAACACTTCCTCCCCCGTGATTATACATGTAATTAATTGCTCGTGCAAATCATGGTTAAATTGAGTTGTTGCCACTAATTAAAATATGCCCCTCGTATGTAGCATCTTATAGAAATATTCCGTGTTTCAAATTTCAGCGGAAAAAATTAGGAGGTACACACACCTAATTGAAGGGACACAATTACGGCAAATCCATGACAAGAGTTACTGCACTCTTACAAACAAGTGGAGCTGACGATAATTATCAGCTATTCCAAGTTTCAAAATTCTAGAGTTCAGTCTCTACTCGTACATTGTAATCAACCAAGGGGTAATACAAACTCCTCACAGTGATTGCCTCCCTTGCCAGATCACTGTAGACACAGATATGGGGAGATCATTGCATAGGAGATTGGGTGTGATAGTGACGTACTTCGAGCGCGGATGTGACGTGTCCACATTTCTACACTGTCAAAAAACAAAACACAATAGGATAATTTCATATTTTTATTATAAAACTTTTTTATCAATCATAATGAGGTTACATTTAAATACTTATGCAAAAATTTAAAACGTATCATCATGCAACATAGATTTATAACATTCAATGAAACATCTAGATAAAATTCATACTTGAAACAAGAGCATCGCATGCAGTTTTAACGCTCCTCTGTTTAGAAAGGGGCATAACTCCAAAAATATTACTTTCACAAGTACGTACCTTGTCCAACAACTTAACTCTTTCACAATAAGCAAGTATTCAAACTTTTATGAAATGAGCTAAGCCCGTTGTGCCCAAAAAATGCATTTATTTTTTCTCAAAAACATTTTATTTTTCATACTCTGTTATAGTTTCCAAAAAGGTACTCATTGGTGAATTACTTGAACCATCTTTTTATTCTTTTAGTATAGTGTTTTAGTGATTTGTTTGGGAGTCAGAATACTTCTTTGTTTACATTTGCTTTAATGTTACTTTGATGACCAATAATTTCACATTCCGCGCTTATCTCTTCAGGTGTTAGTTAAGGATCTTAAATGCCCTAAAAACATTACCTGAACGTTATTAAACTCATTTTTGTACTTTTTAAAGATTAATGTTTTTTCTTTCTGAGACATAATGTGCCTTTGATGATTTTGCACAACAACGACAACGCAGCAATCATAAAAGCTCAGCTTTTTCTTTGAAACAGACAAGCTAAAAATGTTTTTGTTTACTGTATTTTATTTAGATTAAGTAAACAATTTCTTTAAATTATAATTGAAAAACTAGTCAATAGTTTTACAAAGTAAAAACACTTCAAATGACCAAATAAAAAAACAAACTTGTAATTAAATTTGAAACTTTTTATGCAGAGAACTTGAAGAAAGTAAGATCAGTTTCATTATCATTTTCTTTTTATTTCTAAAACAAATTTATGTAGAAAGATCCACACTTTTTAAAAAGACAAATCAAATTGAAAATGAAAGAAAAAAAAATTATATTCCTTTTTTTTTTAAAGACATATATAAAATATTTTTCTACTTTTTCAGGATGGACGGAGAGGATCAAAATAATTGTTTTACTACACATATTCTGGTCTTCGGGGCAAGTTATGTTTTAAAGTTACAATAAAAGATCAAGCTTTACGTAACAGTTCTGACCTTACAACAAATGCCAAATACAAACTGTACTACTTAGTGTTTATTTCCAAACACCTATATATACGATATCATAAAATGTTTACTTTGGTAACTTTTTTCCTTTTTATTATAAAATATGCATTACAAAGAGCCTAAGAAAAAATCTGATAAAACAAATCAGTCTTTAAATGAGAGAAATAAGTTTATAAGTATAGCTGTTTGATAAGGGTCAATATGAAATATATACACACCCTTTTAATTCAATAATTCGTTAAGTTGCTTTTACCACCAAAGCCAGGCTAGGCAGCAGTTTTGACAGTTGAGCTGGCTCTTAAAACATGGCTCCTTAAATTTACTTCTTAATTAAAGTAACGGAAAGTTCTCTCTAGCTTCATATATTTTTTCTTCTGTTAACTAAAAATCTACCTAATATAGCAATAATAATTTCTATGATAGTTATACGAGTATGTGTATGTATGTATGTAGTGACTATAAAATATTAAAAACAACAAAAACCAAAGAAAAAAAAACAACATAAAGTAATTGAAAGAGGGATAAAAAATGCTTATAAGCTAACATAACTGTCAATTACATTGACATAGTTACACAAACAAACAAAATCTACAGGTTTATGTATGGTAATAATAATATCTAAACTGAATTTTACACATCCATTTAATCCACTAAATTTCCTAGGTATTTCACTGAAAACTTTTTTGACATGATGGGACTAGAAGTTTTTCTCAAGACAATTTCTGGTATCAAATCTTAGTTCAAGCAAATTTAAAATTTCTTCTTTTTTTACCACCTCTCCCCCCCCCCCCCCCACCTGCCCCCTACTTACACCTAAAAATATATAGAGGAAAAAAACTGCATAACATTTTTTTTTATTCAGGTATATCAAATTACAATATCATACTGTCCCCTGTTCTTATACACCTTTAACAAAACATAAAACACACTGACTTGGCACTATAAAAATACAACAAAAAATGGCAAACTAATGATTGGAAGAGCTAAAATTATACAAATTCTCAGAATAATGCATCTTCAAAGATAGCATTGGCTAAAATAAAATAACACAGAATGTAGAAAAATTCAATCAATGTGGTGGTGCTATCAAAAAAACTTCCTTTCCTCTGACGATTTTCTTATACACAATGACTTTAGTAAGAAATGGTAAATATTAAATGGTAGAATAAATTTCTTAAATAATCAATGAAAAAAGTTACAGTAAACGTTAAGATTCAGTTTTTTTTCTGTTATAAAAAAGGCAATATAAATCCTGCTATATTCACAAAGCAATATCAAAATAAATATGCAAAAATATGATACAAAACTAATATACATAATACAATGCATTACACATTCATTACAGCAATCACACAAACACGAAAATATTCCCTATGAAATAATAATACCGGTAGTTATCAGGTTGCTCACTGGAGTCCATTTTGACAGTGCAAAAAAAAACATGGTTGAACAATAAGAAATAGATAATAAATCTATTTTTATCCTCTGTGACCTTGACCCAATACACCTGCACCTACTGGTAGAGGTCTGTGGTAGTATTATCAACACACTGAATTATGTAAAATTTCAGCCAATTAATGAAAGTACTTCAAGAAAAGAGAATGTGCCAGATGGACAGACCAGATCATCTCTGTTCTAACAAAATGTGTTACATTTAAACAGTTTAAGGAATACAATATGACCATTTGAATCTTCAGTTTTCAAGTCATAGTATTCATGCAACATTAAAAAAAAAACTTCAATGAGCACTATACAGTAATCATTTGAACCTTTTGTTTCTATATTTGTGTTTTAGCACTTTTCATGTCAAATCTGAATTGACTAGTTTATAATATAAACCTCTAAACATAACATGAAATGAAGTATTTCTCCTTTATTCCAAGTGCTGCTTATATGTTCACATTTTACTGCTAATGACATTCCATCATTCATTCACAGAAAAAAAATCATAATTCTTCAAGTTTCATGAAAATCTATGAAAATTATTACAGAATTTCTCATGAAAGTTTATGAAAAGTTATGAAAACTGCCAAGAAATTTCAAGAAAATTTCGGCATTTCTGCTTTGAAATATTTTCAAAATAATGAAGACGTTCAGAAATTTCAAGAAAGGTTTATGAAAAACGTTTGAGTGGAGAAAAATCAAATATACTTACATATACACACAATTTACAACAATGATTTCATATATATATAATATACATGTGTATAGTGTAAAACTTATAATGAAATAAACATATACAAAAAGCAGCAGTAACAGCGCATCAATTTGATTGGTTTATAACAAGTATGAACTGCTGATAGTAAAAGCACCATTTTGAAAACGGACATGGAGGCATGGAAATGGTCGTAAAGATTATAGTAACACTTGGCATAATTCAATAAGCTACCTGGACAAGTACAGCAGAATTGCCATGACATCTCAATATTTTCAAGTTAATTTCAAAAGAAATTCAGAAAAAAAAATCAGCCTTTGTCAATAATTCTATTAATAGATATGGGAGAATTCTTTTTAAAGCTAGCTGAAAGATATATATTCGTCAAATCTTTTCATACATATTTGAGTTAAAAAAATGAAGAAAAATTATTTTTTTTATCCAAGATGGCTAAAAAAAATCCAAGATGGCTTATCATTATCAACTAATCTATTTTCCCAATTATCTTAACATTTTTTCCAAACAACTTCATTGCTTTCCCAAATATTTAATAATTTTTCAGTACTAAAATAGTTACAAAAACATCTCCTTTCTCAAATATTCTTTTCTTATCTAAGCTCAACAGAAATGATTACATGGAAAAAAAGCCTGTTGAGTAAATATTGCCATTTCCATCCCACTGCCTTAAGTAAGAAAGTCCTTTTTGATACCATCACATTTGCATAGAATGTATTGCTAGTGTATATGATTAGTCAACACTTCTCTAATGTGCAAACCTTAAAATGCTTTTTAAATTATCAGAAATCAGAACATCAGACCAATATACATACTCTATCAAAAACTTCATTTCAACTCCATCTCATTCTAAAATCGATTCAAAATATCCCTATTTTGCCATGATTTATATGTACTTTATACAATAACCATGCATGTTTGTAACAAAAACAAAAACTAAAATGAAACTACATTTCTTTTTTGTCTAAACAAAAGCTATAGAGACAAATAGAGGCCACTTTTTTCCAGTCTTTTGTCTTTTGGGTCAACAGCACTTCAAATTGTTATATAAGTTAATATCAACACTGTAATGCCATTATGTACAAATATATTCCAATCTAGTTCAATTTAATTAAAAACTACATTTTGAAAATTGTAAATTTTGCAATTGTAAATTTTCATTAAACAATTGTGAAAAAAAGATACCACTTTTTGGTTTTGTCAACTGGGGCCTATTTCTGCCCAAAAACTGAGTAAAAAAAACATTGGAGGTTATGTGATGATTTCTTCATTATGATAGCAACTTGTATAATATATTCAATGCATAATAATGACTACGTTTTATGTTACTAAATATAGAAGCAGTTGATGATGTAATATGTCTTGCATTATGCAATCTTATAAATGTACAAAAATTCAATGCAACTAGCAATAAATCTAAAATCTGTTCACTCAACAGTATCTAAAATTTGAAGCCTTCAGTCCATGATTCTACAAATCTATTAACTGTCTATTTTCATGAATAATCAATGAACACATGTATATTTCTTTATGAATATTCAATGAATGGTTTTATGAATATTCAATGAACAGTTTCATGAATATTCAATGAATGGTTTTATGAATATTCAATGAACTTTAAATGAACGGTTTTATGAATATTCAATATAAGAAAAGCTAAATTCAGATCAAATTAACAAATATTTTACGACGGCTATTGCTGACCTTTTTAAACAGTATAATATCACCTAAGTATCCTTCTCTAACATTTCCTCTATGGACAGTACCAAAAAGAGAAAAGTCAAAATCAAATCTTTCATATCACCTTAATCATTCTATAATGTAATATCAAGACTGTACATATTTTGTTAATCAACTTCCTGTATGAAATTTGAGACTTCACAAATAGATAAGGCAGTTCATATATCACTAACACCAAGGCCGGTTGTCTCATAAAAAAACACTTGTGTACTACTATTTTATTACCATGTGAACCGTCTGCTCGATTTGTAATCATGGCTTTCTACTAACATAATCTCAATGGTTGAACAATGACTTTCTAACACAAGCACATTTATGAAACAAGCTTGAAATACTATCTCAGTTCAAATTTTTTTTCTGAAATCCGAAATGAAATATTTCTACACTTCTTTTTAAATATCTTATTGCAATAAACACTTTGAAGATTTTTATCCCAATTCTAGTTAAAGTCATCAATCTATTTTACATGAATTTAAAATGAACTATGGATAACAATTTGTCAAGAAAGACAGAATTACTGTGAAATATACCATTTAAAAAACCCAATCACTTTAATATGTAAAATAATTGTTGTAGTTCAGTTTCTTTATCTGTTTCAAACTTGTGATATTTAAATTCTTTACAAACCAATAAAAAATGTGTATCATTTCTTTTTTACAATGGATGTGATTAGAAATCATCTTAGTAAACAGTAATTCAATGTATGGTACAAAATTATCCAATCACTTTTACTACCTGTTTTCCTGGGAGAATAAAATTGCATGGTCCATTGTGTATGTAGTATTTATATACATAAAATCTGTAGTATGTTTAATATGAATTCACAATAAATCTGCGATCAAAAATCCAAGACAAACCCAACATGAAGTAGATAGGTCAGGCCTGTCCGGCATGTGCAGTAGCTAAATCAGACCAGATCAAAGCAAGCAAAGTTGATAACATATTACTACTTTATCACTTAGTTTACTTTTCCTTTCACTTTTGAACGAAACAATCTTCCATAAATTGTTGTCGAGCATCAATTTTTTTTTTCACTTATCACAATTGAAAAATTGTAAAGACACAGTTTTGATGAAAGTATTTGTACATTTGTCTATGTTAACTGAGATTACTATATAAATGTCATGATTCCGATTTTTACGTAATTTATTTACCAGCGTAGGTGGGATTTTTAAATGTAGATGTAGCCTGCTGATAGATAGGATTCTCGCCCTGAAAATAAATCAAAATGTAGAATAAATTACAAAACCAGAAATATTGAACAAAGATAATTGTGACACAAACTCCTGCAATAAATCTTAATAATAATAATAATAATATTTTGAGTTAAAATGACAATTATAAATATGATATAATAAAATGTGAATCAATGTAAGCAAACAGTATGTGAGCATTAAAGATCCTGTTACTCTATTTTTTATGGTTTTATATCATAAATATGATGCTCAAAAGATTTATCAATATTGTAAGTTCCAAAAAGCTTTATTTGTAAAGATATAACCAAATTTACATTTCATGTAAATAAAAGGAGGTAATTAGAAATTTATTTTGGATAAAGTCTAAGCCAAATTTTTCAATAAGAAATGAATGCATATCTTTTAAAGAATACTTATAATGCGAATAAACATTTGCAGTACATAGTCAACATATTCTTTGATGATGAAGTAAGTATATACATATATAAAATTTCACTTAAGTGTTGTTACATTCTTAAATACAAAATACACGTTTTTAACCAATACTTGCGCTCTAAATCCGTAGTTTAACAAATTTTCCAATTTGTTGTTAATAAGTTTATATATAGAATTTGACTTTGACCATTATTGGTAAATGGTGTTACACTATTCCCTTTAATTTAATATGCAAGTTTTTCAAAACATACTCATAAAAATGTATCATTAATTTTAAATATTTCTTGCATTATCATTCAGAAAAAAGAATGCTTAAAACTTATACTGAAGTCTGACTTTGTTGAATTTTAATGGTAAATGTAATTTTCATGGTAAATATCATTTTAATGGTAAATATAAATTTTATTGTAAATATAAATGTAAATGGTAAATATAATTTAATGGTTATACTATCTTTAAAATTTTGGTTTCTTAAATGAACCAAAATCAAGAAAAGATTTTTGATATTAAATGTAGATTTTGAAATTATTATGAAAGAAAGGAAATGCAATGTTGTATCTTAAATGTGAATAGAAATGAATAGAGTATGAAAAGAAAAATGCATCATATAACTAGCCAGTGAAGTGATTACTTTCTTAACCCTTATATTGCTGGAACTAAAAGTGATTAGCCTTTGCAACCAGTATAGAGCCATGCCAGTCTGCACATGTTTATCATCTGGCCAGACTTTATACTGTTAGTAGTTCAGTTTGCACTTAGCTATTTAAACCTCTAAACATTGGATAGAAAGTTCTAAATCATGTAAATAAAAGCAATCAAATTCTGCAGGTAGTGGTTTAACACTTTCAGTACTAACAGTTCAAATAGATTTTTTTTTTAAAAATCAGCCAAATGGTGAAATGTGTTTGTCTGGTTTATATACACCCATTGATGGTCAGCCAGCATTTCTGGATAATACCAATTATCTCTCTGCAACTGACCAACTTCTTATATACTGACCAACTACTAGTATATGGTTTCTGAATCAGTGGTGATAGGCAAATGATTATTAACAGTCATATAGAACTTCACCTTGCCTGAGAATCAGTGCTTTTTCTTTGGTTGGGGAAGCAGCCCTGCCCTTAATTTGGGGGGAAAATTACACAGTTTATTTGAAAAAGGGGAAAAACTTGATGTAGATTCAATTTTTGGGGAAAACTGCAAAACAGCCCCTGCTATAGAAGGGAAAAAAGCCCTGATAATTAAACCAACAACTCGATTACAAATATGATACCTTCTCTACTCAACTAAGAAGGGGGACTTGTAACCAGACTCCTAAACTAACAGTAGTTCACTTATATTAATTTGATACTCTAATCTATTGCATTACAAATTGACCGTCTTTAATTCAAAGCTGGGCAAATTCATTCTAAAAATTCAACATGGAAAGGGGTTTATAGGAAAACAGCTTCCATCAATAAATGATAGAATGAGAAGCAAGAGGAAATAAGGAGATCATGATTCAGTAAAGAAATGGAAGAGTCTGGATGCAATCTAAGTTTTCAGATCATAGCAAATCAGTCAGAAAGAAACAATCAAAGAACTTTAAACAGAACAGCTTTCAGTAAAGAGATGCTTCAATTTAAAGTTTTCAGGTCATATTTTTCAGTCAGAAGTAAAGGAAAAAGAATAGGCATTTAAAAATGCACACTATGCAGGTAAGAATAGTGCTCCTCAGTTTCAACATGACCATTTTCAAAGTCACATGATCCATTGGGATATTCCTTCAGTCATTTTACAGAAACAAGAAAAGATTTCATTCAAGTTTCACCATGCACTCATTCTAAGAATTTATATTTTTCAAGACAACTATTTTGCTTGCTTAGCTATTTACTCTTTATTTCTACTTTGGTTGATCAAATGCGGGATTGTGAAATGTTGTTGTCGCTGGATTGTAAAGTGGGTTATCTTCCTATAACAAACAACTATACATATAATGTCTGCACACAATCATAGAAGTTTATATCTGTTTAGTTTAGTTCAATGTGCTGGAAGCTAAAAACTTATTGAAACACGCTTGAATCCCTTCCTGGAAACAACCAGTACTATTGATTGTTTCTTGCTCATGGAAACAACAGCTTGCCCCTTACTGATCATATTCACATAGTATAAGAATACCCAGAATGTATACATTTCTTATAAATTACTTGTGTTACCCTGTCAACACAACTTACAGTCAGAAAAATGATTTTTGCAAAATCTGTCTTTTTTAAGAGTTGCTCTTGATTTTCTCCTTCACTTGCAGTAGAATACACAGTGGTCATTTCATAAAGAACTATCCAGTTTCAGTGATAGACGAAAGACATCAGGTGAACCTAGATGTATTATTTCAGGGAGGCTTCAACAACTTGGTAGAACCACTGACCTTCAAAATATAATGAGTTACCTAGGTATCTCGCATCAACACCAGTAGCAGGATTTGAACCTACAGCTATGAGAGGCATGAGTCTCAAAGTCAGGGCGGCCTTAGCCCACATCTCATAAACTTCCACATGAAAATTTGATGGGGCAGTTAATTAATAAATTCATACAAGCTACAGCCTACATATATTGATAGGTGTAAAACCTTTAACATTTAACAATAAACACTATAATAAAAGTATACCAAAAACCAATGTGATAATTTCAAGATAAAACAAAAAACAACTTACAGTATCCCACTTAGCATTCTGAGTTTCCTTCTCGAATTTGGCGAATTCTCGTCTATCGTGGATTGTTGTGTAGAGTTTCCAGATCAGAAGCAAGATGAGCCCGACAAGCACAATACCTCCAATAGTACCCAAAATTATAGCCAGAATGTTCACAGACTCTGGACAAACTGTTGGAATGAAAAAAGAAAATGTTAACAAACAAGTTATAAACTGTTCGAGGGAAAACACACTACTGTAGTCTTGCCCATCAATAAAATCATGAACCAAATAATTATATTTACAAATTGTCACCTAAATGCAATAACTGGTTAACTCCTTTTCAATTTAGAAGGACTTAATCCGTAAATACACTGAGGCGGCAAAATAGGATATTTTCCATAAACAGAGGATATTCAAGTTTTTTCTATATATACATGATTTATTTTCATCATGTGGTATGAAAATAAATATTTCATGAGTGGCGGTAGCCACGAGTGAAATATGGTAATTTTCATGCCACAAGATGAAAATAAATCATGTATTTATAGAAAAAACTTGAATTTTCTGTTTATTATATACATTTTTCTCTTTTTTTACGATAAAATTTGAAACACTTTCCCTTAAATTTTGTGTACTGGCAGAATTTAAAAGAAAGTAGTCCGGCGAGACACCAGTGAAAATACAGAAAATATGTTTCACTGCAGTGAAAAATAAATTTTTACAGTGAAAATACTGAAAATGAAAATATGCATTTTATTTCATCAATATTTCTCAATATTTCATTTATAAGTATATAATAAAAGAAGATCATTTGAAAAGGGAGTTAACTAAATGTAAGGAATTCTAGAGTAATTATGAAGAATAAACTCCCTTTATCACCTAATTGTATCAGGATGTAAGAGTAACCTCCCATGATATCAAACAATTGTAATTTTGAAAAGATTTAACTCCCTCGTTATTAAACTCAGCTACTAAACTTTCACAGAATGAAGCGGTGTTTTACCTTTAGTTTTCTGTACCTCCACAACCACCTTGTTATTTTCCTTATACTCATATGTGAAGAAATATCTACAATCATCCTCCTCATCACTGAACTGGCACATGTTCTTCTGGTCATTCTCTGCAATTAATAGTTTTTTTAAAATCCAATTTAAAAGGTTTATACAGAATTAATCTTAGTTTGGGTAGGAAACTATAAGCTTATAGACACACTTTCGTATCTGTTCCTGGATCCAACCAGTACTGAACATTGAGTTTAAAGTTTCTTGCTCAAGAAAGCAACGACTTGCTCCCGGACAGGGTTTGAACCCATGTGGCCAGTGATCATTAGATTTCTAGTCTAAAGCGTTAGCAACTCGGCCATGCTGCAACATATACTGTTAGTTGTTCTAAATTATTTGCATTTTTATAAAGAAATGCCTTTAACATAAAAAGCAGAGCAAATATATTATTAAATATCTGGTTTGGTTTCAAGTCACATTAACACAGTAAAGGTAATACACTAATAGTGGAGGAAGCCCTCAGGTTCTCCTCTGTGCATTATTTCAGACACAAGCTGGCGCCTGAATAGAACCACCGAAGCAAAAAACAGAATCAGAATGGGAAAAAAACTTGAAGCCACATACGATTGACTTCATCCTCGTTAATCGTGTTCACTAAAGTCACATGGTCACATTTTTCTTTGCATTCGGCAGCGGTATAGTCCCCAGTCTCAAATCCTCGGCACAAGGCACAATTCTTGTTCTCTTGACATTTACCAGGGCATGTCTAAAAGTAAAATACAGCATTTATTATGGGTTTAAACCCGATTCATATGTCCAACAACAACATTTCAACAAAAATATTTCATATGTTCCATCTAAGGCCAACATTATTTGTGTTGTTATAAAAAAATTTCAGACCCTTCAGAATTATTGATTTGGATACTTTTTAAATATTTTTATTGGTGAAGATTGAATACTGTCGATAAATGTTGTACATTTAATAACCTGTCATGTACAGACTCAATCCAAACAAGTTGGCAATTCTTACACTTATATGATTATTTTTAATGCTCTCAATAGATGTCATTTTTTTCTAAGTCCCCCCCCCCCCCCCCCGATTTTTTTATTTTATTTTATTTTTTGTTTTCATTAATTCTCTCAACATAACATTTCTAACAAGATTAAAGATGAATAATACCTTTGCTAATACAGAATAAACTAGAACTATCACTAAATGTGATTAATACCCCCACAAGTCTGCTTCGGAAATGAGGATGTTACTAGTAACAGAATACCTTGTAATAGAATTGAAACATAGAGTTATGGTTGTGGGCAATTAAAGATAAGTGTGGTTCATGTATGTTGCATTTCCTTTCAATGTGGTTGGCCATTGATGAAGTTTAATTGAATTACTCTGTAATAAGTCCAGAAAGACAAAGAAAAAGAACAAAGGACAATAACTCTATAAATACTGAAGATAGAGTTATAGTTCTTGTGCACTGCACTTCCTCTTATTGTGCTTGACCATTGTATGAAGTTGTTTTGAATTCCAACCAGTACATTTTAAGTTATGCTCCGGACAAGGAAAAGTATCAAAGGCAGTAACTCTGTATTTTGTCAAAATGGAGTTATGGCTCTTGTGCACTGCACTTCCTTTTAATGTCCTTGACAACTGTATGAAGTTGTACTGAATTCCAAACAGTAGTTTTCAAGTTATGCTCTGGACAAGGAAAAGTAACAAAGGGCAATAACTCTGTAATAAGTCAAGATGGAGTTATGGTTCTTGTGCACTGCACTTCCCCTTATTGTGCTTGACCATTGTATGAAGTTGTTTTGAATTCCAACCAGTAGTTTTCAAGTCATGCTCTGGACAAGGAAAAGTAACAAATGGCAGTAACTCTGTAATTAGCCAAGATGGAGTTATGGTTCTTATGCACTGCACTTCCTCTCAATGTGCTTGACCATTGTATGAAGTTATAATGAATTCCAACAATAAGTCTTCAAGTTATGGTCCGGACAAAAGAAAGCAATGGAAAAGTGACAAAGGGCAATAACTCTGTAATTAGTCAAGATGGAGTTATGGTTCTTGTGCACTGCACTTCCCCTTATTGTGCTTGGCCATTGTATGAAGTTGTTTTGAATTCCAACCAGTAGTTTTAAAGTCATGCTCTGGACAAGGAAAAGAAATAAAGGGCAGTAACTCTGTAATAAGTCAAAATGGAGTTATGGTTCTTGTGCACTGCACTTCCTCTCAATGTGCTGGACCATTGTATGAAGTTATAATGAATTGCAACAATTAGTCTTCAAGTTATGGTCCGGACAAAAGAAAGCAATGGAAAAGTAATAAAGGGCAATAACTCTGTAATTACTTTAGATAGAGTTATGGTTCTTATGCACTGCACTTCCTCTCAATGTGCTTGACCATTGTATGTAGTTATATTGAATTCCAACCATTAGTCTTCAAGTTATGGTCCGGACAAAAAAAAAGAAGGCAATGGAAAAGCAACAAAGGGCAATAACTCTGTAATTACTTTAGATAGAGTTATGGTTCTTGTGCACTGCACTTCCCCTTATTGTGTTTGACAATTGTATAAAGTTGTTTTGAATTCCAACCAGTAGTTTTCAAGTAATGCCACGGACAAGGAAAAGTAACAAAGGGCAATAACTCTGTAATTAGTCAAGATAGAGTTATGTTTCTTACGCACTGCACTTCCTCTCAATGTGCTTGACCATTGTATGTAGTTATATTGAATTCCAACCATTAGTCTTCAAGTTATGCTCCGGACAAGGAAAATGCAACGGACAAAAAAAAAGCAATGGAAAAGCAACAAAGGGCAATAACTCTGTAATTACTTTAGATAGAGTTATGGTTCTTGTGCACTGCACTTCCCCTTATTGTGTTTGACAATTGTATGAAGTTGTTTTGAATTCCAACCAGTAGTTTTCAAGTTATGCCCCGGACAAGGAAAAGTAACAAAGGGCAATAACTCTGTAATTAGTCAAGATAGAGTTATGGTTCTTGTGCACTGCACTTCCTCTCAATGTGCTTGACCATTGTATGTAGTTATATTGAATTCCAACCATTAGTTTTCAAGTTATGCTCCGGACAAGGAAAATGCAACGGACGTCTGGACCGACCGACCTACCGACCGACCGACCGACCACTGGGTGACTCCTATATACCCCCCCAAACTTCGTTTTTGGGGGTATAATCATGAAAAATCTTACTAAGAAAATTCTACTTACTGGGCATTCTTCACAAGTTGGTCCTTTGAAATGGCTATCTGCATTACATTTACACACACCACATACACATTCTCCTACACCATTACACAGCTATAAATAGAAATGTGTAATTACACATGACATACATATTAATGCATATGTAAATTCTATACAGTTGGCTGGATACAAACATTTTTAAAGTTAAATCTATTTTAGTAGAGAGGGCAAGAACAAATGTTATGTAAATTTCTATGGACGACCAAGCCTGGTGAAAATCCATTCATTCATTAATGAGAAGACCTCTTTCATATTTTCAAATTTTACACCTTGACATTTTGAATATTTTCAAAAATAATCCTGACACCAGACATTGTTAACTGGCTGTACTAACACAAACAGGAATTTAATCTGCAGTGGTGACGAACAATCAAGCGAAATTCAGAAAATTAAACCACTCAGCCACAAAAGGCTCGCGTTTACTACATGTACATATCAACATTTCTTTTATTTTACTTCATATTATCATTTGATATTACTATTTTTTTTTCACTTCATAACAAAATTTCATATCATTATTCTTTTATTTCAGAACAACATTTCATATAATTATTCTTTAACTTCATAACGTTTCATATAATTATTTTCTTAACTATATTTTTAGCATTTCATGTGATCACTTAACTTATTCCTTACACCTGCTGGGATCAAAACTAGCCTTTATTATCAGCTTTTTACTGTTTACTGATTGACATAAAACTTTTATCTTTTTCCCCCCCAAAAAATCTATAATGGTACAGTTCCAAAATTGGACTGATTCATTACACAGAATAGGGAAGATTATGGCATTATAGAAATAACATACCACTCCTCCTGTAGTAAGACACGTCTGGTTAGATTTAGGACATTCACACGCATCACCTTTATAATCATCATTACATTCACAGTTACCACAGTTACATCTTCCATGTCCTGAAAACAAGAAAGTACCAAAAATGTAGGTTCTAAGAAGTGTTCAGACTGCATTTTGTTTAACATACAGATTCTGAATACTAGTATAATAAAATTACACATGAATCATTCTAGCACGACCCGCAATTTTTCCCTATTAAATATAAAAGAACCAAGAGTGTGTGTTATTATGCAATAAAATCACTGTTGATGCTCTATATTTAGATATGTAACAATCATAATTCATGTGACATAACCACTAAAAAATCTGACACACTGAAAAAAAGTACAGAAAAAAATCAGGCGCAGTTTTGCTTAAAATCAGGTACTGCAGCATTTATTTGTTGTGATGTTGTGTTAGAATCGAAATAATATATCCAAATCCATGATTTTATCCCTTGATAACATCACTGTTTGTTGTTCGGATGCGCATCATTATATCACTCGGGCTACGCCCTTGTGATATAACTGCTTGCCTCAGAACTCCAATTAGTGATGTTATTGAGCGATAAAATCACTGTTTGAGATATATATAATTTCTTAAGTATCCATAATATCTATAACAATAATACCTCCACAGAGCTGGTTGTTATGGTAACTACAAGAATAATCGTCACAATGACAGTATTTGCCGCTGTACTTGAGAGCCGAATGAGCTCGTCGTGGGTAACAGTCGCATACACCGCAGATACACTCCCCACGTCCTGAACATATCACCTTACTTGTAGAGTTAGGACTGAAAAAGAAACGTATAAAATATAAATATTTTAGTTTTTATAAACTAAACTAATGTGAAGTGACTGAAAGTGGTTCCTATCCTATCAGAAAATATTCATCCCCACTGGGGGCTGAATGTATGATTGGTGTATCTAGTAAACTGTTATATTCCCATGCCAAATTTATATGGTGACATATATGCAATTAAACTCTTGCCCCATTCACATGGTCAAGACCTCTGAACAGTTCACAAATGCTGAATGAAACCGGTCTGGCATGTCCAGTCAACAACAGGGTCTGAGATCCCAGCTTAAGCCATCCAACATATAAATATTACATATAATTACCTTTTTTAGTGTCTGATATATGACATGTCCTTTTTTTTTGGTTTCTTTCTTTTTGACCATCAAAACATTTTCAAAAACTGTGGCTGACATAAATCAGGCAACATAGTAACCTAGGCTTTACTTCATTAAAAGTATATACATTTGTACACTAAATTCATATGCTAGTTAATGATGGACATTCCAATGACCTATAATTTAGCATCAGTTATAAATATAGTAAAAATAAATATAGTAAGCTACTTATTTACTTAATGTCCAAAGACAAGAAATAATTTCAAATAAAGACTAAAAACTACAAGTTTGTTTTTTGTTCTGGTTTTAACACCAAATTTTTATTTTTCACGAAGAAATACTGCCTCAAACAAGAGTCTCCTTGATTATTTATCCAATTCTCTTCCTATTGAACTAAGCAGGAAGACACGAAAAAAAAGATGATAACATATGAGCCACGCAAAGACAAAACCAACATAATGCGTTTGCGACCACCATGGATCCAGACCAGCCTGCCCATTAGTGCAGTCTGATCAGGATCCATGCTGTTCGCTTACAAACCCTATAACAAGTAGAGAAAGTTATAGCAAACAGCATGGATCCTGATCAGACTGCGCGGATGCGCAGGCTGGTCTGGATCCATGCTGGTAGCAAACGCACTATGTTGGTTTTGTCATGACGCGGCTCAATTATAAGTTCCAAGCACCCCGACTACAAGACCAGTACAATACTTACTTGAAACATTGCTCGAGAGATTTCTCACTAGAACTTTGAGAGCCATCACATTCACACTGCTTTCCGTACCTTCCCTTATCACATGTACATTGTCCACACTCGTACGTTCCTTCCTTGTTACACATATCACTATTCTTTACCTAGAAAAACAAATATACAAATTCATAACAGACAGAAAGACCCAACACATCCGCAAAAATCCAACTCTCCAACAGGATCTTCTCGCAACCATTCACTCACAAGCTAAAGAACACAACTCTCTTAACCAGTGAGGGAAAGATTCAATTTTTTGTATCTATAGTAATTAAAGTAGGTGTTATGACTTCTATGTTAATACTCATTCATTGTCTGAGCTGCATTATTAGAAAGTCTTGAGTATACATAACTATAACTTTCGGACGAACTTAAGACAGTTTTAATAAAAAGAAATTTCATCAGTCAAAGACTTTAGACTATAACTAAATTAATTCTCATGAGAACATTTTAGAAAATAGAAAAGCACGTATTTTAATCTGTAATGGATTGATGTTCATCTGCACTGCTGGTCATAAATTGAAGGAGTCATATTACAGGAGTTTTAAGTTTTAACATTTTCTTTGAAATGCAAAATTGTCTCAGTTTTTTTTATCTTAAGACTGATTTCACACTTTCTTTGCAATGCAAACCTGAACAGCAATGCCAATGAATATGAAATATTTAATTGTATGCTATCGTGTGTCTTAATTTTTCATCAGAAGACTTAATTTAACTGTACAATCTTTGCCTAAAGAAAATTATGATATAGAAATGGTCATAAGTTAGTCCTAAAGTTGGTCGTAGGACTAACAGCACACTTAGCACTCTTTATGAAGCATAGCCCAGGACTTTTCTTACTATTCTCAAATAGACGTTATCCGGAATTCGGCAAAGTGGGTTTTTCCCAGCAAATCTGTAGGTACAAACTAACTTTTACCTCTATTGCCTCACAGTGCACTAACCGTTACAATAGATTAGTTAACCTGTTTTGCTTATTTTTTAAGCTGTTACTGTAAAAGTATGTTTGTACCTACGTTATTACCTGGGAAAAACTAAATATTCTTAATTCAAGTGTAAGTCTATTACAAGTCAATCCACAAACATGGAAGGTAACTAACCTCATTATCAGGTGATTCACAATCGCATTCACAGATTAGATCTAGGGTGATGTCTAGTTTTTCTGACAGACCTACAGGGTAGACGGAAAATGTTCGTGATCTCTTAGCGGGGTCAGCTGGACACTCGTCAACAGACACAGACACTTCAAATGTAACACTGTCTCCAATAGATAGTTTTTCACACACATTAGTCTCGACCATTTCACCACTGAAAAAAAGAGAATGGAACATTTACTCTTGCAAATAATTACCTATGATCATATAAACATACAGAAGCAGAAGTCTATGTATTTTAAAGATATCTATACTTAAAAATGCATTTAAGTCCTTTATTTTATTCACAAAAGCATCGTCCATTGCCTCAAAATTTTGTAAAAGACCCTTCACAGGATGAAACCTTTTGTACCCAATTACTACATATTTACCGTTCAATGCATATGGAACATACATCATTTTCTAACATTTTCTAACAATTACAGTGGTACATATATGTATATTACAATTATTTTTCTGAAAACATTGAGTGCTAGCAATTACTATGTCAGGCAAGCATGTTGATCTATGCAATCTGACATGTAGATATACTCTGTTCAATAATGGCCTTTTTTTCCAGTGACACCAAGGGTCAGATTATCTCTTTATCATATCTTCTAAATCACAAATATAATATTTTTCCCAAATCTGTAAGAGAAATTCCCAAGAGAACTGAAGTTCACTATATAAAACAAGTGACCAAACGAATACCAAAATCCCCAAATTTGTCTCAGAAAAGGCCTAAACTTTTATCCTTTTTTTCCAATTAAACACCATAAACTAATAATTGACTGTTAATTGACTAAATGGAAGACAAGACCATCTGGCAGGTAAACGGTCAACTTCATACTTTGACATTTTTAGATGTGTGACAGACTTACCCTTTACAACTACTCCTGAACTTGACTGTTATATTCTCAGCAAACTGTGTGTTCATCTGCACTTTTGATGTGATTCTCTGGTAAAATAATACATCATAGTTTTTTAATGTATTCACCCATGATGAATAAACATAAATTGACAGTTAATATGATGAATGAACAGAAATTGACAGCTCAATTTTAAACTTTCAAAACATTTAAAAACAAAACTAATCTGATTTTGATACTAAAAAAAATAATTTAAAAATTGTTGAATTTTCTAACACTTACTAAGATATATGATTTCATTTAGTTTATACAAATTTATTTAAATTTGATTGAATAAATTTAATTGTGTTGGAAGCTATAAGCTTATTGAATTTGAACCACTCTCGAATCCGTTCCTGGAACCAACCTGTACTAAGCAATGAATGTAAAGTTTCTTGCACAAGGAAACAACGGCTTGCCCCTGACAGAGTTAGAACCCACACAGTCAGCAATCAATAAATACTAATCCAACACCTTAACCACTTGGCCAAGCCACCACTATTTAATTTTACAATATTGCAGTAATAAATCAATACATATAACCACTATAACCAACCTTGTAATTCTGTTCAATAACCAGTACAATATTGGATGAATCATTTGCCAATTTAGTAGCCTCTGACCCTTCAATATATTTACTCAATCTGTTGTAGACAGGAAGCTGATCCTCTGTCACAGCAAATATCATGTTAACACTGTTCTCACGAATCTTTGTGGAGATCTGACTGACAGATGGATAATCCTGTAACATAACAAGTGTTCATTTTGTTGAATTTCCGCACAAAATATACATGTATAATGGCAATAAAATTTTAGCCAATAGAAAGAAGTTAAAGTTAATACAAACTGTTTGGGAATTCACGTAAAAATTAAAATGGACTGAAAAATTTAATTTTATAGGCAATTAGAAATGAGTCCACAGGATAGGGATGCCCCAACATTCCACTGTTTTGTCAGTCCACAGACTGAAATATTCTGTTTTTGTTTGGTCTTAAAGTCGTATTGACACAGTAAAATACATTTGGTAACTTCCAGTAGTATTTTTTCCTTCTTTAGGCTGGATTTTATGTCACACCAACACAGTAATAGACTAATAGGTCAACACCTAAGAAAGCTGGTACAAAATTTGAACAGCCTTTGTAAATGGTATTGATAGCAAGACCTGCCTACACACTCATGTAGTCAAAATAGCTTCCATACTATTGGCTGACTTGGGTCTAAATTTTCGTCTTTATGGTACTCTATAGAAAATGGATAATGTACTACTCAAACAAGAAATTCAGCAAGGTAAGGGCTTAGCAGTAGATAACACTGCCTCAAGTATCAGTGATCGGCATTTAGTTTAGTTTATACAAATTTATTTTAGTTTGTGTTAGAATCTATAAACTCATTGAAACACTTGCATCTATTCCTGGAACGAACCAGTATTAAGCAATGAACGTAAAGTTTCTTGCTCAAGGAAACAACAACTTGCCCCTGACAGAGTTAGAACCCACACGGTCAGCAATCAATAAATACTAATCCAACACCTTAACCACTCGGCCATGCTGACACCATTATATTTTACAAAATTGCAGTAATAAATCATTACATGTAACCACTATTACAAACCTTGTAATTCTGTTCAATAACCAGTACAATATTCGATGAATCATTTGCCAATTTAGTAGCTTCTGACCCTTCAATATATTTACTCAATCTGTTATAGACAGGAAGCTGATCCTCTGTCACAGCAAATATCATGTTAACACTGTTCTCACGGATCTTTGTGGAGATCTGACTGACAGATGGATAATCCTGTAACATATCAAGTGTTCATTTTGTTGAATTTCCGCACAAAATATACATGTATAATGGCAATAAAATTTTAGCCAATAGAAAGAAGTTAAAGTTAATACAAACTGTTTGGGAATTCACATAAATGAAAATGGACTGAAAAATTTGATTTTGTAAGAAATTGAATTGGTCTTGAGAAACGGTACAAATTTTAGATTACAGTACGAATGATTAAACACTCGGCAATGGGAACCTATCTCCAATCAGCATATATGCCACATGTACAGAGACAGGAGCAACATACAGATCATGATATCTGACCAGGTTCTATATTGTTCATAGATTAAATTTTTTCATTTTGAAATCGAAATCCCAAATGTTAACTGGCAATAGAGGGTAAATTCTTTCCAAAAGGGCAATTCCAAGACACATATTCAGCAGGTTATGTCAGTGTATGTGGTTATAACGCATCATTTACCTGATTCTCAGCTTCAGTGTATTTTCCGTCATTTCCAAGGTGACAAGCACCATCATTTGGTTTCACTATACCACCAAGCTATTAAAGGAAACAGAAAGAAAACATAACAATAATAATATCTTGTGTTTAATCAAAAGGAATACAAATATGAAGTATTTAATAATGAATCAACATTACCAATATATGTGTTAAAATTAACTTAAGTACAAGTAAAAGATGGTAAATATATTTTTTTATTTACTTTAAAAAAGACTATGCTTTATGAAAATGGAATAAATAATTATAATGCAATTATTGTTTTTATTGTTATGGTGAAAAAATAATTCATAATTTTAGTGACATTGCAACTGCTAAAAATACAAAACGATCACTAAAAGTGAAATAGCAATCTCTAAAAGTGAAATAGTATTCACTAAATGTGAAATAGTAATCACATAAAGTGAAATAGTATTCACTAAGTGTGAAAAAGTAATCACGTAAAGTGAAAAAGTAATATCAAAGAGCCGAGAAATATAAATACAAAGAACTCTAAACCTGTTTAAAAAACAACATATTTTTATAATGATCATCATCAAACTTCAATCAGCCATGTATAATATTTACATTTTAATTCAGTGTAGTTACAAACATAATTGACATGAAAGGTCAACCTAGTATTAAAGTAGACATTAAGCAATTAGTTGTAATTATATTAATTATCTTAAATCCTACATACACATTGACATTTACATAGTGTATATTTAAACATATTAACTTGAGAACAAACAATAATACTTTATTTCCTTCTTCCTAGAATAAACTCTTATATATACTGAATATCTGCACAAAATATAATATTCCATTTGATTTATGAACTAAATCTCTAATTCTTTTTTAACAGTATTTTTATCTTATGTGAATCCAAATTGATCTAGTAAGTTTTAACTTAAATTGTATTTTTTATGATTATTATGCCTATTAGCATTGTTATTATGCCAATTGTTTACCTATAGTTTACCTATTAGAATTGTTACTATGCCAATTTATGTCAATATTAGCACTACTTATAACAATAGGCATAATTGCAACACAATACCGTTTAATAACAAATATATAACATAAGTTAAAATCTTTCTTGATTGGTTACTATGCATGCATACTAAAAATATATCAAAATGCCAAGATATAACCAAGTTACAGACATATCACTTATCAAACATAGGAAACAGTACTCAAAATTAATGAACTATGAAATACAATATCAAAAGACATGAACAAGTTTAACCAACAATATTAATGAGGCAGTTACTATCAAACAGAATATTAAATAAATGACAGCATGACTGAGTCACTGACATCAAAAAGAAAAGAAAAACAATTTGTATAAAGTGGTTAAAGACAGTGATTTTCCGCTACAGATTCGTTTTGTTTTATCCCATACTTTACCTTTCCATCTCCGGCAAAATGAAATCCTGCATCAGTAGAAAAAAGTAGCATCTTACGTGCTTGGTCTCTCCAGCCAATGTCATTCTGTAACCATAGCAACCAAAATACATGCATAGCAACAAGTACAAGGTCATGACCCCTGTCTTTATGACAACAGGTAGGGAACAAGCATACATAGATACATACATTTAAGGACGATGCTAGCAATACATAACAACATATGGCTGAATTTGTAACATTCGGGTCCTTCCTTTTTTACTCCTTTTATTTCTGAGATTAACATCCATTGTCAAGTTGCCACAATTTTAGTTTTTTCTTTTTGCAGTATGCCAATATCATATAATGTATCAGTACAAACATATATTTTTAGATTAAATTTCTGCTGACACCCTTAAATCTGTCAAAGGCATACCCTTGGTGTTTCTCTACTAAACTTTGACATAGGTTGAGGTAATGGACCCCACAATAGTATAAAAAAGAGCAAAAAAGAAACCACAAACTATTAAAAATTCAACCATATGTTATATTTACAAAAATATTTGGACTTATCCCATCCCATGCCTTCTGTCTGTATGGACATTTTAGCTTTGCTGATGAAAGACCACTTGAGGTGCCTAATAGAATATCATTTTTGAACAATCGGGCACATGTGGTAAAATATCTACTATCTCACATGGGTGGAGGGAACAGTCTAAATATTTTCTGTAAAGTTGATCTCACTATGTGAAAACAAATAAATATCACATCCAATAAAAGATTCTGTGAAGTATTTCTATAGTTTCCTCTAATTCAAACTTAACTGCTAAAAACCCAAGAGAACGTAAATTGCAAATAAGGGGACTGTTGTTACAAGTATAGGGCAAAGTCAGTCTGCATAATCATGCAATTTGACCAGGTTCCATTTAAAGTTTTTTTTACATTCAAATTTCCCAGAAGTTTCAACAAAGGACTGGTCCTATCCACCTGATCTGCAAAGTTAATGTCAAATGATATCTTGTAGTTTTTAAAACCCCAATCCCAAACACTTTAAAAGTCACTTTTTCACATTTTCATACATTTAGAGAACATTCTCTCTATTTATTGTTTAAATTAAAGGAATTTGAAACACTTCACACCAAAGACAAGAGCTATTAAAACAAGAAATATTCATTTTCAGCATTTGCTGTGGACCATTGCCCCCCCCCCCCCCCCCCAATAGTCAGTAGAAATCATCTTTTATAAAAACTAGAAATGTGCCAATGTGCCAATAAGACACTAATGAAAAGTTTTCATTCATTTTTGAATATTTCTTCTTTTTTTTATCACAAAAAGAAGACTACATGACAAAAAAGGGTTTGTTAAACAACTTGTATCCTTTAAAGTACAAGAGTTGTACTTTGAACTCTTATTATTTGAAGTTCAGAGCCTATTTTCAAGATCAAGAAAGCAGCTTAGATCATGCTCAAAATCTATATAGAGGGTTGAACGCAATACAGTTGTAAGTCCTTCTGTATTTCATATAAGTTACTGAAGTTTTGAGGACAACACTCAATATATAAAATTTCAAAAGCAAGAATTGTTTTCACATGCTTCATTATCAAATTTCCTGGTTATTTTAATACATATAAATTTACATTACATATTAAATCTTTTTCACATGCTATCTTTTAAAAGTATGGTTATTATCATTCTCGGATAAAACCTGTCAGGGTAATCCATCCATCAAAAGCCTGAGTAATTTCCGTACTTTTCCCAAGTTTCCATAACTAATATTGACATTTTTGATGATCTTAGTCAAATCATTTGTTTATTTAATTTTCATAACTTGATGTTTTTGCATCATCTAAACACAAGTAATAAAATTTAACTTTAACCTGGTGAAATTGTTTTGACAGTTTTGCCTCTTTTAAATTTGAAACAGTCCATTCATAGTTTAAGGATTTTTGTTATCAAAATACAAAAATTGAGCAGACTACAATATAGAACCTGGTCAGACAGATCACATGTACAGGAAAACCTGACTCTATACTAGTAGCAAAGACTAATTACTTTCGGTTCAAGCAGGTGAAGGTTCACGCTTGTTTATGACTTCAATATAAAGCTATGTCAATCTGCACATCCATGTAGTCTGACTAAACTTTTATATGTTGCCAGCTCAATTTTAGATTTTTGAGAATAAAAGCCCTTGTGGGACAATGAGGGACAATTCCAAATTCAAATCCAGGCCTGTCCATTGTAAACATTTAGTGTTCTAAGGTCTAGGATACTGAACGAAAAAATCTGAACTATCCCGAACTTTTGATGGATGAATAACAATGCAAACATTTCTTATATAATAGCACATGTACATTGCAGGAACAATAATATGCACGAAGATTCTGGAACTGTAGCAAAACAAACAAGACATTAGTGAATTCCATGGAAATCCTTGAACGTATTTCATGCACTGGGGTGAGTTTAAGTTCAATTGTCTTGTTAAAATTAGAGCAACTATGAAGAGTGCTTCTTTATCTTTAGCATGTCAAAACAAAAATGCAAAATTGTTCACTAAAAATGGACAAAGATTTCCATGAAATATACGATACAAAAATAACAATGATACATTCTGGGTGGAAATATGGTTTGCATTCTGGGTAACATTGCATTCTGGGGTATAATGCATTCTGGGAACGGCCTATTTATAGAACAAACCTTTCCATCTCCAGCAAAATGGAAGCCAGCATCAGTTGAGAAGAGGAGTAGTTTACGAGAAACTTCCCTCCATCCAATATCCTTCTAATTTTGTTAAAATAAACAGTCAGATTAGCATTTAATCATGGCTATAAATAGTTCTACCAGAATCATAAAGTAATAATTTCTGATAACAAAATAAGATCTAACAAAAAGCTGCCGACAAACGGCCACTGCATGATCATTCTCAGTGATTGATACCAAAAGGAGAGGTACATGTAAACAGGAATTTTCTTGATTAAAAAGTGGGAATCATTCAGTGTCAATCAAATGTATAGGAGCTATGAGAATTGGCCACAATGACCTACAGTCACAGACATGTGTGAAAATTTCAAAAGAATACCTTCAATGGTTAGTGAGATATGAAGTTGCAGATAAAACATTAACCAAGTATTATGCCAAGTCTTACTATTCCCTGAATAGTCGAGTTTAAAGCTCAAGAATTTTTCTATTAAGGACAATCATACAGTAACAAATATGCAATTAATTGAATCTTTGAGGTAATGAATTAAACTTTCACTTGAAATTTACTTATGAATTTTTGTATAAAGATACAAACTTTGCTCCATTGCAATCTTTTTCATAGAGTTGGATGTGCAATATTTAGAAATACTTTTCTTTTGACTAAATTATTAAACATTTCGTTATCTGCTTTGTAACAGGAAGTTTAACGTACCTTGCACATAACCGCCTGCATGATGGCGTCAAAGCCTCCCTCTGGCGCGTCGAGGTTTCCCGAAACACGGGCTCTCCTTACATATTCCTGTAAATCATACAATTTATCATATAACTGGTCATAAACAACATGTATAATGATGTTGGCTTGGTATTTACACTTTTTTTAACACCTTATTTTCTTACATCTCGACAATCAGTTCACCAAACTGACTTTCCTGGATAACTAACCAGTAATTAGCAATTTCTTTTAAATGACTGTTTTCTAATCCCATATAACTTTTAAATCAGTGGTGAGAGACGAATGCCAACAGACTATATGTCCAAGATTAGGGGTGTCATGGTTTGAAAAAATGCTAAACATTTAAACAGCGACATAATAAATACTTAGATGTTCAACATTAACTTTGTTTCTTTATGACAAAATATGCCATTTTGTTCATATTTTGTTGTACTCAAAATGATTACAATACATATCAGAATATGGAGTAACTATTTTCCACTAGGGTCATACAGTATTCAATACGATCGGAAAAAATGCATTGTTGAGTACAACTCAAATACAAACAATTGTCATATTTTGTCATAAAAAAACTAAAGTAATATTTAGAATCAATTTAAAACTTTTACGCCCCTTAGTCAAATACTAACCTTGGTAACTGGTTATTGAATTTCTAACCGTTTTTTTAGCTAAAAAACGACCATACCCGTTTAAACAGATAAACGTGACACCCCTGTCCAAGATTGACAGTCACACAGAAATTTTACAAATCATATGCTCTCCATATTTAGCTAAGCTAGCAGACATGTTTAATGAATATATAAATTAACTTTCAGGCTCTTTATTAATCTAATAAATTTCAGAATCTCAAAATTATTTCTTATAAAATGTCAATGTTTTCATCCTTTTCTTATACATGTAAAATAGCAAAGCTTATCTACAAAATAATTATAAAACTCACCCAGTTTAACTATATAAATACTTATTACTTTATAATTAATTAAAAAATTGTTCTGTCACACTTTCATTTAATGTAATTGCTGAAAGTTATACAAATATACTATACAAATTCAGGCAGAGTGATTGTGAGACACAAATTTTAGGAAGAGTAAAAGTAGAAACAAATCACTGATCACTGTGGTTGACAAAAAAAGTTTCTTTAACAGTAGGATATACGAGGGATGTCCGGAAAGTTCATATACATCTTCATTTTTTATTGTATAACAATACATACGCTGTACAAATTTTGTCAGCATAAATATACATATCTAGCGAACACATTTATCAAAAATTATTGAACTGTGACTTACGTTTGTATTTTAACAGTATTTACATACAACATATATACATCGTCATGGAGCACTTTGACAGCGTCAACGGCGTCAAATAACTTCATGTTTACCAACTATTCAATTTCTTCCGATTTCAATAGCCGCGTTTACTTAATACATATAATGTTACTTTGCTATTGCTTCATGAATTTCATATTTAAAATTATTGTTTAAAAATCAAAGATGTCACTGGTTTCCATACAGTGTGTGAGATGTCTGTCTTTTTCAAGAGTTTGCGTTAAAATTACAACTTTTAGCAGCTTACTATTCGAGTAGCTATCGTTATGAAATCAAAGTGCTCCGTGATTCGTTGATCATGTTGCCATAGTGATCGGCGCTTTACAGAAATTTATTTTATCATGTCTTTTAATTTAGAAATACGTAGCAAATAAATACTTTAGCAAAATATTCAATCATCATATTGATATGTCAGTTTATAATAATTTTATAGCCTTGTCTACGAACTTTCCGGACAGCCCTCGTATAAGTCTTTCGATTTACAGAAATTATTTCGATTTACAGAAAAAAAAGAAGAGTAAAATTATTAAACAGAAACAGTATGAAATGGATGCATAACTTCACATTAATATACATAGTATCAGAGATCTGACAGATTAAATAAAGAAAACATACCAATATTGAAATAAAATGCCAAGTTTTATCAACCATTTGCTTCATAAAACAGAAGAAGATACTTTCGAGACTAAAGATTAATGTTTTTATTTCTTTGCAATTACAGAGCAACCAATATAGACAGAATGAGTGTATATAGTCATTCCAGGCATCGAGAGTGTTACCTCTAGAGATGACCCTGCCTACCTCAAAGTTGTTAGTATCATTATCCAGTCCTAGGTGATTGTAGAAACTGTACGGAGCAGCGCAGCCCGGACATGGAGCTATGAGCCTATATATTTAGAGTTGTTGTTGTTTTTTTTAAAAAGAACTAAATACACACACTAAATAAATAAACCATTTTTATAATAACAACAAAGTCATGTGACCAGTACTGCAATGACAATTATTAAATTCATCATTTATCTTCTCAGCAAAAAGTGATAAAGTAACAATGTTACAAAAGAATAAGTTTCGGAATATTAACATGCCCCTAATAATAATTACCTTAACATAAAAAGTGTACTATTGCTATAAATCTAATATTAAGTAAACAGTTTCTACATGAATTGACAATGCCATTACTGGTCACATACACACAAAACATTCTTTTCAAAAACAAATATATCACTGTCAATGAATATCATTAACATTTTAATATTCACAAAAACCTAGGCAGATTTTAGTCTAAAAAATAAATTTAATATAACAACTACACAGCCATTATCATGGCTATGAAAATAATGCCGCAATATTGTAAACATTTCTAAAATCCTATTTTGGAACATCAAAAGTGTCTGCAAAGAAACAGAACAGGGTCCTGTGTCAGAGGTTATAAAGAAAATTTTATTTTTTAAACTATCTTCCTACTTTCTAAAACTGCTAAATCAAGAGTATGCTCGCTTATTACTATTAACACCTACATTTTAATACTTTTTTAATTTTTTTTTTTTTTTTTTTTTTTTTTGTAGTGTTAATGAATAGCATGACTGTGACATATCTATTCCGGAAAAGAAAACAACATTCAGGCATTTATTTACAAACCTCAAATAAAGTGGTGTCTGTATCCAATTTAAGCTGATTCTTAAAACTGTACGGTGGTTCACAACCAGGACATGGCGAGTTTAACCTGTTCACATAAACTTTATCATATATGTTCACAATGATTCATGGCTGAACTTTGTTCACATAAACTTTATTTATTACATAATGTTCACAACAATGCTTGGCTGAAATCTGTTCACAAACATTTTATAAATGTCATATGTTCATAAGCATTCATAGCTAGAATTTGTTCACATAAAGATTATCATATACATTAAATATGTTCACAACTAGTACATGGTACTTTTAACATGTTCACATAATTTTTATACATAATATATGTTCACAGCCATTCACAGCTAAAATCTGTTCCATAAATATAATTCTTCTACATTATTTATGTTCACAAACATTCAAGATTGATATATGTTAACATATTTTCTTTTTAAATTTTAATTTTATATATTCATATATATGTTCACATAAAATTGAAACACTATATATGTTCACAATCAATAATGTGGAGAGTTTTTCCTGTTGAAAATGTACACATTATATATATTTAAGTTCACAGGCTTTTATAAGTGAAACCTGTTCAAAAAGGTGTACATTATACATAAATGTTATAGGTTTAAACCTCTGTATATTACATACAATATACATAAATAGTAAAAATTAAGAAGTCAACAGTAAATTCTTGAAATTCCCTTTAATATACCAATACTTCGGCCGAACAGCCTTCTTCAGGGTAACATGCGTATCTTGATTTTCAATACCAATTCTCATAATAGCAATCACCTCACTTAGAACTCATTACACACCTGATAGGTTTACCAACAATTTTAAAAGAGAAACCTATTCACATTCATCATAGACTCTTTGACCTCCTTGATATCATTTTATAACTGAAGTGTTATTTTTAGTCTTTTGGAAATTTTAAAAAAACATCCCTTTTTGGAAGGAAAATAAAGCTGCATTCACTTTCTTTAGAAACAAACATGCACAGTATGAAAAGTGCAACATTTCTTTTTTCTTATTTCAATTTTTTTAAGTATTTATAGTTAAAATAGCAAAACTAAAATAATTTTGTAGGCAAGAAAAAGAAAATCCCCCGAAAACATTAGTTTAAACATAACTATTAATATAATTATTGCTTGTGATAAAAGCTTGAAGCTAATTTGAACAAGCTTTAAGTTCCTTCCTGGAACTAACAAACCAGTACTGGTGTCCAAAAAGGGTGGTTGTGACCTTATTAGAGCTTGAGCCCACAATACCTTGGTCTAAAGGCAGACCAGATCATAAAAGCACCACACCCAGAAAACATTGAAGGTAGTATTAACATCTCACTTACTTTGAGGGTACAGTAGAAACATATGGCATTACAACCTTATCCACAAATGAGCCGAAGCCCAGTCGGAAATTCTTCGTAATATTTGACATACTGGCAGCTGAAAAACATAATAATACAACATAAAGCAAAACATTCTTACATGTCAATACATAGCAGAACAAAATTTTTAATTTTTACTTTGTTTAAGCATACAAATACTTTGAACATCACATTAAAGCAAATGTTATTATTATGTTTGCATATGTGGGCACCTGAGAAGAAACATTGCACTTCATTAAAGGGAAACTCCACCGAGGCTTTTAACATGACAGTACTGGAAATATTTTTTTCCCCTGAGATTTGTGTGACATTTTATGTAGATCTGCAATCATCCTATATTTATAGAATAATCATTTTTAGTGTGCAAAAAGGACCCAAATATGAAGTGTTGCAACGCTTTTCCCTCAAATCGTGCTTGGAATCCCAGAAAAAAATTAGTCACATACTGAGTATATTTCTCTCACATGTTTTCACATGTAGGAAAGTCTCAAATTTTTCTCCGTGCATTATCTAAAGTATCAATAGGTACCTGAGTAAAACCACAAATTGACCAAAGCATCCCTGGCTGTATTCAAATATCCAGAAAAGTGATGCAAGTGACTCAAAATGAGCTTTTCTTAATCACTGGTCTATGTCCATAAACAGGCGCATATCCAAGAATTAATACCACAGAGGTGTTGCAATTTTTTTGACAGGGTGTAATGCATATTTCAAGAAGCTTAATGTTTCATCAGTTTTCTAGAGAATGTCATGAGTTAAATATTGCTCAACATTCACAAGTTTTGAGTGAATTTCACTAAGAAAGAATATAAGAATATATTAGTTGATACCTCAATCTCAGACGTTCCACATTCTAGCCAAATCCAAGAGAAAATGGGGGTGGGGTCTTCTGTGTATAATATCACTTGATGAATATGTTTCACCTTATCAAACTATTAACTCAAGAGAAAATATACCAACAATTCTACAAACCTATTTTATTTCCAAGAGCTGCTAGTTTCTCCTTGTCATCAGCCATGGAGTTTGACAAGTCCATAAGATAGTAAAGATCTACTGGGTAATTCTCGGCCAACCTGAACGTCATTGTAAAAGTCTCCGGATTCTCTGAAAAGAAAAACAACCACCAAATATGACTTGAATGTTTCTTGAAAAATATGACAAATATATTGTAAATGTATATAATGACAAATGTAATTTTTTAGAAAGAACATTTACCGAACCCCATTTACTGCAGGTTTTGTTTCCTAACATTTTGAGCATTTATTGCCTTATCGATAGCAAATTTAGAGAGAGGTGTTGTTGAAATATTGTTTTTGTAAATCAAGTGTTATTTTAATGCCACTATGACTGATTGAAAGTAATTTGTTACGGGTTTTTTCATTTTTGGGAAATTTCGACGGTTTTGTTACCCAAAAAGGGGGGAAATTTCCCAACACCAGTAAAAAATTTCATGCTGTTCGAAATTTGGTTTTTGACGGGAATGACTAAAAAACCCAAAAAGCCGGGTTTTTGGGTTTTTTAATGTCGATAAAAAAGTTCGGGGAACGGGGCCCCTTTAGCCCCGCCCAGGGGCCTTTTGCGGGCCCAAATTTTTCTGTGTCTTTTTTAAATTTTTTTGGGGCCAAATTTGGCAAAATATCGCATCCTAGCAGATCTCTTAATAATGTTTTGATATATGACAGCTGTAAAGAAGACAGAAGACTTACTTGGTCTAATCTTGATTTTCACAGACTGTGGCTGAATTTGAATGGCATCTCCAGTCCCAGAACCATCCTGTACTGGTTGATTCTATAAAAAAAAAAAAAAAAAAAAAAAAAAAAAAAAAAAAATTGTATACAGTGTACCTATATATATATGTATATACATAGATCATTTTAGTTAACTTTTGAATATTGACATTACTGTCTACAAGTTTTAATCAAGTATATTATCTGGAATATGTATGAAAATGATCAGATGTTATTTTATACTTTATTTACTTAGTAAAAGTAAAATAAAAAAAATTATATTAGTTGTTTTGCAATAATTCATTAAAAATTATCAAAAGATTAATAAATTATTTTAGCTTAGCCAAAAAAAATAAGTAAAGTTTTTAAAAATAAATTTTTTCCCCATATCATAAAGAAAACCCCAGCTTTTTGGGCCCGGGGTTTAAGATTTTATTAGCCTTTGAACATCCCCCCGGCTTTTCAAGTTAACGGGGGCATGTCAAAACCGGGGGTTCCCCCCCAATTTTCCTATTTCCAAATTCCGCGAAACCCCAAACCCGGAAACAGGGGGGGACGCGGCTATACATTCTCCGCAGAAATTTCCCAAATCTACACTTTGGGTTTTGGGAAAAACCTAAATCAAAACCTAAAAATTTTTAAAAAAAACTTTTCATTTACAGTAAAGTGAAATTTAAATTTTAATTTTGGGAAAAATTCATACCTTAACAAAAAATAAAAATATCGATTATGTAAAGTATCATTCATTAAAAAATTAATAATTAATGGAAAAGAGCAAAGTCTTTTGAGTCATTGAAACATTACTGTAACTCTTTTCTTTAACCTAAACTCTACTGAGTTTGCGTAATGCAGTGTTTAACTGCTTTAAATTTCATACTCTCTAAAAGATATTTCAGAGATTCATGTATTTAGATAAAAAAAATTGACCTGCCAACAGTGAGTACAATGTATTGCCAGACTGCTTGGATGTGCAGGCCAACCTATCTCTATTACTATAGGCCTAAGTCTGTCTGTTACTATGGAGCTTCTGTTCTAAAGTTATTTTGATATATCATATATATCATAATTATATATCACATCAAAGAGCTATCTTTATTAGCTTTTGTAGCGTAGCTCAAGCAGCCATTCAAATCATACAGCCCTTCAAAATAAATTCTTCCGGGTTAAAAAATCTCAACCATTACACTAATATCCCTTCCAAAAACAAAGAAAAATAAGAAATCTACAATGAACAATTAATGTACAATGGGTATGTGTTTCTTCCTTTCAAGATATTTTTTCAATATCAAAATACTTGCATATTTTTGTAGGGGCAGCAATGAGAAACAAATTCAGTACTCGAGTACTCAGGCGTTTTTCCTATCAAGTACCTGGTTGTTCTTTTTCTCATAAATTGTTTAAATTAAACAATAAATCATTCTCCTAGATTCAACATCATAATACAAACTCTGTGAGGCCCCTAAAAACAAAATTAAGCAGCTTCTATTTTAATCTTGCTCCTGGAGTCAGATGTTCAAATCATCTCAAACATAAATCAACAGCTGTTGGCGTTATGATCACTTACCAAGATCTATTTTTTGACCAGACGTTTTCAATTAATGCCACTAACTTTCATAGTGTTATAAGTGGCCAATGAAAAGATTATTATATCAAACTGTACCACCTGAGAGAAAAAATTATAAAACCATCTCTATCATACAAGTATAATTCATTTTTTAGATGCATTATTCTTTATATTAGTGACATAATCTATGGTAAGATCTAAGCTGTGAAATTGTATTTGAAGGATCCCAAAACTCAAGTCCCTGGAAAACTAGCGCATTTTTCTTATCTGCAACCTGGCAAATGTGTGTTTTTCCACAGTGTACTACTGTTCACATTAGTCAACCTGTTATCCATATTTTCGAAGCTGTAATATTAACTGTAAAAGTTTGCTTGTGTACAATTGGTACAAACCAATTATTTCTATTAAATAGTACATCTACATGTACCATAAATTTCATTTTTTAGATAAGTAACTTTTTTACACTGTCAATAAATAGTTCTCACATGTCAGTACATTTAAAAAATGAATTTATGCCCTGTTTTTTCCTAGTCTTTAGTGGATGTCTAGTCAAGGGCTCTTTGAGTTGTGAAAATAAGCACCAGAATGATTAATATACTGTCGTGTTAAAACGTAGCTTAATCAAATGGGAAAAAAGTTTAAATCATGTGTTGGAAAATGCCTTGAATCATGATAAACACCTTATAATAAATCTGTTTCTGATGATTTAAAGACATCAACAATTGTGTCTATAACTACAAAATGAAAATTGTGAATTTTCATTATTAATAATAAACAATAACATATTGTTATAACTTACTGTGAGAAAAAGGGATGATTTTTGGTTTAGTAAATAAGGGAAAAAAACAATATTAAGTTACACATAAAATCTGACAATAAAGTTAGACATTACTAAATTTGACTTGATATCAAAATTACATAGAAAAAAGTTTCTACATAATAAAAATTTTCTAACAGCCCCCCCAGACCCCCCAAACCACACCCCCATTTTGACAATAAAAACTATTGATAACTTTTTTTTTTCGGGCTTATCTTTATCACACACATTCCCAGTATATAAATGATACAGTTTTTTATGCTATGAATAAACAGCTGACTGGATGAGTCAAGACCTGGCCCACAACAGAAACCTCATTCATAAAATTGTAAACAAACACTGGGTATTATTAATCATCTGTGAATACAATGAAATGCATGTGCTCCCTATGAATCTAAATGTACAATAATAAACTGGTTTGTTTCCTGAAGAAATTTCACTCTCAGATTTGCCAAAGATCTCAGAATATACTAGTCAATGAGTCTATAAATAGAACAAGGTTTCAAATTAAAAATGTATATAAACGTAATCCAGTGTGAGTGTTTTACCAAAAACAAATTTTGTAATAGGAAAAATGTACTAGAAATCAAATTACTAAATTAAATTGGATGTTTTTTGTAATGGTTTTTTTTTAAAAGTAAAACAAAAACAATGAATATAAAATTTATTAGTTTGGAGGAATAATTCAAACTTTTAAAACAATGGATTTTGCCATTCTGATACTTTGGCACAATCAAATCACAGGTGGCAGTATCAGTGTTTGGACACCCCATCCCTATCTGATACTGCCTACTGTGAGTCAAATATTAATCTAGGGATTTCTGATTTGAACATTAAAATCGTAACAATTTAATGCAATACTTAGTACAATACATGTATTATGCCAGACTGCATACAGACATGCCGGTCAGCCCAGTTTGTACACTTATATAATGTACATGTATTGCATAGTCATGTCATCTCCATCACTATGATTTCACTATTACTAAATTTAAGTGATTTAGAAATCAACATCATGGCCGCTGATATAATCTATGACATCACAAATTCTGGGCAGGACAATGGGAATGGTAAAGGTTACTCATCATGAGAAAAGTTAAATGGGAAGTTAAAAGGTGTTACACTGACAGGGAAGGAAGGCAATTTAATATCATTAAGGAAATGGATGAGTTTTCAGATTATCAGACCCTTAAATCAATGCTATAGCTATTGGTTTAACTCTCCTTAATACATCATGTACATACATGTATTTATATCACTCATTTCTCTAAGGAAGATGAGACCGAGTGACTTTAAATTAAACCTGCTGTATGTTTGGTTTATACAGAATTGATTTTAGTTTGATTGTGTAGGAAGCTATAAGCGTAAAGTTTCTTGCTCAAGGAAACAACCACTTGCCCCTGACGGGGTTTGAACCCATGCGGCTAGCGATCATTAGATTACTTGTCTGACGTGTTAACCACTTGGCCATGCCGCACTTATGCATACTGCTGTATGTTTGTAATGGAATTTTGCTCTAATTTGAATTTGGCATGGTCACTAAATTTGGCACACAATTCATTTCTATCCCTTAAAAAAACTACTTAATTATAATATAGATGGACATGCCCAGCATCCACATTTGGAATGTCTCGTATCTTAAGACTTGTCAAGATGAAAATTTAAAGTTAGTAAGTCAACAGTAAAGAGTCTGGTCAGACTGCATGGATGTGCAGGCTGCATGTCCTGCTTTTACATAGTACATGCACTCTGGAGGAAAAACCTAGTCACTTTTAGTGCTTGAAATTGAAATCCTTTAACTTACATGTACTAAGGACATTATAATTTTCAAATTCTAAAGGGACAATTTAGCCCATAATAATAATTATACAAACTGGAGTATCAAAACTAAAATATACTGATTTTTTTTATTGAGCACAGAGACTTGTTCAATTTTGTTTACAATTAGTCTAAGTTTCATTCTAAGTATACAATGTATATTTAGAATATATATGAAATCTCAATCTTTGCTAACATGAAACTTTGAGTAAGTGTCAAGTTAACAAAACTGTTAAACAGTAATATATGGTATCATCATCAAAGACCTTTTACCATTAAGACCTTATAAGTCATTAATAATTATGACACCAACAGTTACATGTATTATGACACAAAATGACTTTTTTTTTTAATTGTTTATATCTTTTATATAAATTCATAGCCACATAAACAGCATAAAAGTGTGACATTTTTTATGTCTTATATTAATTGTACAGTCATAAACAAATCAAGAAGCCCTGATAGTTAACCTTTCAAGGCTGATGTCATAAAAAAAACACAATCTTACATCAATTTTATTCTCAATCCCAAATATTATTCATATTATTTCAGTCTCCTTGAGAGAAAAAAAAATCTACAAATAAATCTAAAATATACGATGCTTTATCAACCATGACCGGATGATTTATTTCTCTGTATATTATATTACAAGTGAAAACTATATATAACACATCCTTTTCTCAGTCAGTGGCTTAGTGAGGTACCTTTAGTGACCTTGCCCCCTCCGAGCACAATCATGCTTGTGTAAAACACAACAACTAACACAAAGAAATATGATTGATCATGTGCCCCTCCCTATTGAGTGAGACATCACAAGTCCTCCTCCCATCCCATCCCTACCCAACAAAATAATGCTAACAATTCATATCTTT